ACGAATTTTATCGGATCATCTGGGGTATAATTTAAAATTAAATTTCGACTTTTACTTGTAAAATATTCAGCCAACTCAACAATAAAAACCTACTATAAAATAGCCAAAAATTAAATCGCGCCTTTTACTATTAAAACATTCAGCCAACGTACGAATTCAAAAGGATCATCTGGGGTATATTTTAAAGCATTTTATCCTTTTTGGAAACTCACCGGCGACGATGGCATAGGCGATACCCTGTGGGATCTCCGTCAAGCCGACGGTGAAGCCGGCCAAAAGGTCCTGCGAGAACGTCTGGATGTCGTAGTTCGGCAGCCATTTCAACAGCGGTATCCTCTTCTTTCCCAAGCGCGTGATATTCGAACTACTAGCTGGACCTGGGACATGCAAAAAAATAAATAATTCGTAAAAATAATTAATAACCTTCGATGTAACCGGTTAACCGGTACGGTCTAGGTTGATTCATTCGATCAACCGTTAAAAGGTATTTACCGGCGATCAATCGTCCGTAGAGAAACGAATTAATTCGTTTAAATCGACGCAAAAAATGGGTTATTCGAGGTTATTCGAGCAAATTACGTTACGTTCCAACGAAACTCCCACCTCTAATAACCGCGAATAATGTCACCAAACCTCAATCGAATAGGGAACATAGCATTGGGCTAGAGGTGGGCGTCGATACGAGTAACGGTTACTTTTTGTTACCGGACGGGATATCACCAATTTTTTCTAATAACAATCGCTTTCAGTCAAACAGGGTCAAATCCATTTCCGAACAGCCCCATTATCTCATCAATGTCGACAAAAGGCACATCCTGCGAGCGTTACAAAAGCGTGTAATCTTCTTATCTAACGAGCTTAATGGGTTTACTTTCGTCGAAGAATGTCGTAAACAGAATGGACAAAAAGCGACTTTTAAAGCCATTAAATAATAGAATTCCATAGGAATGAATTTTAGGGTGTATTTGTAACAGTTTGTTCCCAGTGGATTCCCACTAAGATATTTTAAATAGCAATATTTCATTTAGTAAGTGTTGCCAATTAAAGACAAATTCCCCAAGAAATTTGCGCGGAGAATTTGATTCGTTCGATCAATAAGATCAAATCTAACCCAGGGAATCCCCTGCTGCTTTTCAACATCACGAAACTAGATAAAAAGAGCGGGATAATAATTTTATAGTTATTTGCAATATTTCATGAAACAATTGTTGCCAATTAAAGACAAATTCCCCAAGAAATTTGCGCGGAGAACTTGATTGGTTCGATCAATAAAATCAAATCTAACCCAGGGAATCCCCTGCTGCTTTTCAACATCTCAAAACTATATAAAAAAGAGCGGGATAATAATTTTATAGTTATTTGCAATATTTCATGAAACAATTGTTGCCAATTAAAGACAAATTCCCCAAGAAATTTGCGCGGAGAACTTGATTGGTTCGATCAATAAGATCAAATCTAACCCAGGGGAATCCCCTGCTGCTTTTCAACATCTCAAAACTATATAAAAAAGAGCGGGATAATAATTTTCTAGTTATTTGCAATATATCACGAAGCAAATGTTGCCAATTAATCGCAAATTCCCCAAGAATTCGTTCGATTTGACAATAACCTCGTTTCGGCCGCCTTTGCACATACGATAACTATACATTATTCAAATCGATCGACCTTGAGAAGTATCTCGAGACGTTTTGATACACTTTCTAAGGAGTCAATATACGATTTGACCTTTTTTTCCAAACATCACACAAACTAATCTCACTACAGACATTCGAAAGAGTTCAACGAATTTTATACCTAACACTTACTGTTAAATACTTTAACTTACTGGTGAGTACGCGGATTCATGTAGCAAGAAAAATATATAGAGTAAAATAAAAAGAAGGAATAAATAAGATGGAATAGAGAGCGCAAGAAGCTTTCAATAAAATATATATACAGAGTTGTTATTTTATAAAGCATATATGTATGTATGTAGGAAGACTTACTAATCTCGCGAAGTAACGACTGGTTAACGACACTGTCCATTCTAAATTCCAAATAAACTTATAGGTAACTATACTATGGGCATGAATATTATTTTACAACAACGCTATCGATTCGCCAATGCGTTCCATTCCATTCGGTCGGCCATCACTTTTTTCTCTATTTCTCTAATGTAATGTGAGCTTCTAGCCCGCCGACGAAATTCGTTTCGATAATAAACGGGTGAAGCGAAAAAAAAAAAGTAGGGAGAATATTTGGAAAACAATTAAAGGTCATTATACCGTATGTTTTTTTTTTCGTGTTACGTGCCCACCGGGCGGATTATTGTCGTCGTTAAACTAGATTATTGTTAGCCGTTAAAATAGCGCTCTATCTGTACCGTGTAATGGACTATATACAGGGTGATTCCCGCTGGAATTGTACACCTGAGGAGTCGGAGGCCGATGAAGTGGGGGGTAAGAATTTTGCGGTAAAATAAAGAGTGAAAAATGGTGAATTTTGAGTGCATTTAAGAGCGTTATTTTAGAGTTAATAGAGAAGAGTTGGAGTGTTCTAAAAGGCAGGACTTATGTGGTTTAGAGTCGCTCAAAATAGAAAAAAGATGGAAGAAACTGGGGAAGGTGGAAGAGGGCTAGCAAAAATAAGAAGAATAGATTCTAAAGGGATGATGCACCTTTAAAATGTAACCAATTTTTTACCATATAATGTCGAATTAAAAAACTTTAATTACTCTCTACTTGAAAACTTTTTTTGGTTGTTTATATTTCTAATAAATTAATTTTTGCTCCTTCTACATACCTCTACTCGGTTCTTGTGGGCAACGCCCTGTATAAATTTTTATATACATTTTTTGTTTAACTTAAATTACGGTTAATAATAGTAATGCATGTATGTGTGTTATCGCGAATTTCGTTTGGGTTATCGGTTAATTTAAAACCCAATAGTGGGGTTCGCCCATAATATTTATTAATTATGTATGTATATTAATAAAATCTATCTTAAATCGTAAAATAAACCGATTAAAATCGATTGAAAACATGCAAATTTTAATCGGAAAACTCTTCCGTTATTCATGCAAAAATTTAACGATTATTTTGTAACTAAACACCTCTATAAAATTAACGAGAATTCGATTAATTACAACTTCTCTAATTTGCAATCGACAAACGCATTTTTTATTCCACTAATAACTCATATAATTATAAAAATTACATAACATAAATCAGGTTGTTGGTATAATTCCTCTCGAAAAATCCCACTTATAAAAAAATCTGGGAATAAAATGCAGTGTGGAATTAAATAATTCAACAACTACCAATCTCATTGTTTGACAACAATGCTAAATGTTATTAAAATAAGCGATAATAACAGCGCAAGGACGCGGGTACCCGTGACATTAAGGTACCATAATTTAATGAAATAATATTTATTAAACCATGAAATTGGGTACTAATTAGGTGTAATGATTATCATGAATAATCGAGCGCAGGAAGAGGTATGATAATTGAATGAGTTTTGATTGTCATGTGACGTTCGAAATAATTTGCATTTCGGTTTATTTTTCAAACAAATTCGTGAAATTTTTTCGCTTTTTATCAAAAAAAATAAACGAGAAAAATATGCGAATATTTTCCCGACATTTATCGTTTAAATATTCATAAGTTTATGTAACGAAGGAAACAATTTTTTAAAGTTTAACGTACTTACGTGTTTTAAATAAATAATTATGTTAATATGTACAATGGAAAAATGGAATAATTTTTTTAAAAATGATGGCTTAAAAGAGTCAATTTTAAAACGATAGTTAATAAATAGTAATTGAAAAAAATTAACATAAATTAACCCAGTTAAATCAATGAGAGAATAAATTGATGCAAGCCCTAAATTCAATGAAAAATCAATTGTAAAGACACAGAAGTGGTCGAAAAAATGATAAAAAAACTCCCCAAAATCACAAATTTTCGCAACAAAACCACCCCAAAAAAATTGTACAGGGTGTTAATTAATTGAATGCCTATACTTCAGGATGTGAATATTTGGATGATTTTAAGAAGAAAAGTTTATATCGATATATGCCCTGAACCTCTTAGTTTTCGAGCTACAAGGTGATAAAATTTTAGAAAAAAAAATTACTTTTCTATAATAATTTTCTATAATTAACACCCTATATAAATAATGACCAAAAACCACAAAATTTAAGGCACACAAAAATCTGCAAATCCAGCCACTTTAAGATGGCAAAAAAAAAATAAAACAATCCAAAAAATCTCTAAAAACACGCCAAAAACTATCAAATTCTCATCAATATTTTCGCAACAAAACCATCTAAAAAAAAATTCAAAAATTCTACAAATCTAATCGCCAAAAACCACCCCAAATCTAGCACAATAAAATTCAACAAAATACACAAATAAAAAAAAATAAATAAAACAAAAAAAAATACCTTTCACCGGCACCGTCATTTCGATGGTGTCGATTCGGATTCATGCCGTTTCACCGACTGAAACCCGTGAAAAAATAACGAAAAGGATTTCACGACCGGGTACTATATATACTATACATAAGTTTACTAGTACCAGCGCTAGTACGGCGAATAAATTCGTAAATTGACCGTGAACACTTCGAGGAACAAACATGTTTACATTCATCAATGTACGAATATCTCCTCTAAGGAATTACCCGGAATACAGTGCGAAAAAATAATGCACACACATACAAGTAAATATTTAAATTGTCGCAGATAATTTGTGAATTTTTTAAACAATATTTAAGATAATTCGGTCAATGGGGGCCACGTTTTGTTTGTTTTCGAGGACTTTAAGTTGCTTACCATGGTATTCAATGTAAACAATCAAGCAACATGTCAAAAATTGACACTTATAATGACGTTTCGTTAATAGAGTTGGAAATCGATTTTATGGCGTTACTAACGTTACAAAAGTAACTGTTATTTTTTTGATTGTTTCAATTTGTTGAATCAACACAAACAATACATTTGTAATTAATTATAAAAAGCGGATTTATTAGCAATTGTATAAAAAATAATGCAAATTTAATTGAATTAACAATCAAATAAGAAAGATAAACTCGAAAAAATCGATTACAAATCTCGTCAATATTTGAACAGACTACAATAAAGAAAACCAGTCTTTTTTATGTAACGCAAACGTGCAAAAAAAATATTATATAATCGAACTAATAACTTATCGAAGATATATTAAAAAGTTTCCGTACGGTTCTCGATCGACATCTCCCTGCTCTTAAGCACATCGTACAACACCAACGACACATAAGAATCGGTAGCTGCGTAACGTTTCTGCTCATCAGTCAAAGGCACCTTATCCCATCTACTCATCCGCACCTTTTTGCTCTTATCCACATTCAAATCGAGCAAATTATCGACCAAATCCTCCAAACTCCATCTTCTCGATGTAGCCAACACACGATTGGCCATTTGGCTCAAATCCACGCAATTTTCAATGGCCTTTTCGACGTCCCATCCGGGGAAATCCCTCGCCAATTTCCTCACGTCGTTCTTGACGCAATTCCCCGTTATGCGAACGTTCGATCGAACCAAAAGCTCCGATAGGCCCTTAGGCAAACGCTGGATGTTACTTACATGGTATATGCAGCATGTCTCGTCATCCGGGCTGATTTGAATGGTGGCTGTGCGACCGGGGCCCGTTTTGTAGGAAAAAGGCCACTCCAAGTCGAAGCCGAGCACCAACAGGTCGCCGGATTGCCTCGCTTTGTCCAGGAGATTTTCGCAGGATTGGGCTATGTCGAAGAATTCGGTGAGATAGTGAATACGACCGGTGAATGTCGCGAATCGCCTGCGGGATTTTCGAATCGATTCCGCGGATTCCGCCCGTTTTTCGAGGTTATGTCGCTCGATTTCTCCTTCCTCTTTGGCCCGTTTTTGCTCGGGGGTGAGCCGTGGGCGTAATGACATCATTCTATTAGGTGGAGAATCGCGCGGTTTCGAGTAAATTGTTAATTTTTCATTCGAAAGTCGCTGGCTGGTGCTGGTGGATGAAATCGTTCAACGTTTTATTCGAATATTTAACGAACTCTACGCTACGCAGTATTGCCAATCGCGCTGGGATATTCGAAAATCCCCAATTTCTAATACGAATTTTGCACGTTTAATTGCTTAAATAAATTATTGATTAATCACTCACCGCTTGTTAACGTTAGTTCTTCTTCGAGCATTGTTTAAGGTCTACTTTTCCACTTTTTCACCACGAACATTATCGATTAATAATCGATTATCCGGCTAAAGTATCGTAAAAATCAAACACTTACCAATTGATAAATAACAAGAAAACGCTGAAAAACTGGACGATAATTGTCGCAAAAAGCGACAAAAATTTGATTAAATTTCAAAAATTTTCGATCGACACGAACGGTCATTTTGACAGATTTGACAGTTTAATCAATCTATGGTCTCTTTCTATTCGGCTAAAGGACCACTGTTGCCTAATTTATTTTAAAAAGTTAAAATGAATTAATTAAGAAGAAAACAACGAACCGTTTGGTCGTTAATTATCTCTAAAAGCAACAAGTTGATTAAAAAATTTCAAACAATTATCTTCTAATTTAATCATGGCCTATGCTACAACCGCTATTCAGCCCAATCGATTGAAATGAACAATTACATGAATCGATCAGTGGTCAAGTTCTATTCGGCTAAACGTCCAATCCATTGTTGCCAAATTTACTACTAATCGTAGTATTATCGAATAAAATAGCCTAATTACAACTAAGATTAAAAAACTCATTAAAAAACAAGCGATATAACTACAGAAGAAAATAACATATACCTTTAATAATCATTTCGAACGCCGCCGAAACACTACTGAAATATGCGCAATTAAAAATTGCCTTTTTATGCCCAAATAAAATGTTTATCAGCCGGTTCATTGATGGGGGATTAACAAAATACAATCATCAAACGACACACGTGAACGCTAAAGAATTTGCAACGATTTACATTTCGTCTGCTCGTGAATAAGAAACGTTTCCAAACATTCCACATAGTACAATAATTTTTAATTAGGTAGATTTTCGGTGCAATAAAACGCCGTTTTTATAGTAGATAATGTTTAAATCTACATAAACAATGATAGTGCGATTACTTCTCAACAGTGTAACAAAGAAACTTTCGGATTCGATGAATTTTTCATCCCGTAATTACCTCATTTACCCGCAGGAATCTGAGCCAATTGCCTCAGCTGCTTCAGCACTGTCTCCAACAGTTTCTTCTTATCTCTCTCGCTCTTCTTTAACACGGTAAACATCGTTTTCTTGTCGCCCTCTTTCAATTTCTCTAATATAACGATGGCCACTTCGGGCGTGACTTTCTTGTATTTGTTGGTTTCCTGGGCGTAGTCGTGAAAGTACGTAGGCCAGTCCCAGGATATGAACAAATCTAATATCTCCCTTAAATGTTCGAAGTACGTGAGTAAAATACCTTCTTGTAGACCTTCCACCGGTTCGGAAGCGGCGAATTCTAAAATTAACAAAAATGTAAACAATTTCATTGAAATTTGTTCAAAGGTAACTACTTAGGAGACAGAATAGGATAGGGTAGAGTTGGAGTAGGAGTAGATTCAGAGAATAGTAGAGTAGTGTACATTCAGAGTAGAGTTCAGAATGATGGAGTAGATTAGAATAGAATAGGTTCATTGTAGAGTGGAGTAGAGTAGATTCAGAGTATAGGTAGAGTAGAGTAGAATAGATTAGAGAATAGTTTCAGTGTACGATATAGTGGATTAAGGTAGGGTAAATTTACCCTAATGGATCTCCTTAAGGAGATCCAGTGTAGTGTAGAGCCGAGTAGAGTACAGAAGAGTAGATTAGAATATAGTAGATTCAGTTTAGAGTAGAGTAGAATTGATTAGAATTAGGTTCAGTGTAGAGTGGAGTCGAGTAGATCCAGTGTAGAGTAATGTACAGAATGGCAGATTAGTTTAGAATAGAATAGGTTCAGTGCTGAGTGGAGTAGAGTAGATCCAGAGTATAGTAAAGTATTGTACATTCAGAGTAGAGTACAGAATGATAGAGTAGATTAGAATAAAATAGGTTCAGTTTAGATTGGAGTACGTTCAGAGTATTCTAGAGTAGAATAGAGTAGATTCAGTGTACAGTAGATTAAGGTAGAATAGAGTAGAATCAGTGTAGAGTAGAATACATTCAGAAAGAGAGAGGGAGTAAATGTAGGGTAGATTAGGATAAATTCTAGTTTACTTTAGCATCTGAATATTTACGTTCGCACTGCAACAAATCCAAATTCAATTGATTCAAGGCGCCCATGGAAATTTGCTTGATTTCTTCGTTTACCAGCATGGCCAACAGCGATTTTGCTATGTGATCGCAGGCCGATTTGCAGGCCATTTGGGCGGCTTCTTGCTGTAATATTCAAACAATTATACTCAATTCGCCATCAAAATATAGTTCTCCCTGTGATTTACAGCTTTATGAAGGTTCTACTATCATCTCCTGTTAGTGAACGAGCTATAAAACAGTTTACAAACGAATTATACTCAATTCGCCATCAAAATATAGTTCTGCCTGTGATTTACAACTTTAAAAAGGTTCTACTATCATCTCCTGCTAGTGAACGAACTATAAAACAGTTTACAAACGAATTATACTCAATTCGCCATCAAGATATAGTTCTGCCTGTGATTTACAACTTTAAGAAGGTTCTACTAACACCTCCTGCTAGTGAACGAGCTATAAAACAGTTTATAAACGAATTATACTCAATTCGCCATCAAGATATAGTTCTGCCTGTGATTTACAGTATTAAGAAAGTTCTACTATCACATCCTGCTAGCGAACGAGCTATAAAACAGTTTACAAACGAATTATACTCAATTCGCCATCAAGATATAGTTATGCCTGTGATTTACAGCTTTAAGAAGGTTCTACTATCATCTCCTGCTAGCGAACGGACTATAACTCACCGGAATATTGGTGAAACTTTGGAATGTGGCGTGTAAAAAGGCTATGATATCCGATATGTAAACGGAAGCGTGTCCATTGGGCTCGACCAGCAACCAATCGTAGTTTTCCAATTCGAAAAATTCGTCCAATTTCTGCTTGAGTTTCTCGCAAATCTGCCGAACGGCGTCCTCTCGGGATACCGAAAACAACGCGGATTGTCCGTGCGTTAGAGACGAAGTCACGCTTCGAGTTTCCTCGCTAGAAACAATAAAAAAAAGCACCATAAAACAAAGTTTGGTTACTTCGTGGGACTTTAAGTTGCGTACGATGGTACGCAGGTGCCCGAAATCGACGTTACAGTGACGTGCGAGATTATTAGAGGTGGGAATCAGTTTGTTGTTGCGGAACTAACGCGATTAAATAACCGTTTCACTACTCACCCGGTGATATTAGATATAAACTGATCCAGATAAATGTTGGCCTCTTCCAAATACCCTGTATCTATGATGATCTGTATGATTTCTTGCAAATTAACGTGAGGACTTCTCAGAGTGGACGTTAGGCAACCGTTGAAGGTTCTCGTTAATAGCAAATTCATCGATTTCCTTATCATTTCGTCGACTTCCACTTGACTGTAATGAATTTCGATTACGAACTAATCGATAATATCACATCTGGAAGACATTCACCTGAGATTCAAGTCTTCGGAGAATTTAATGCAAGCGTATATGAACTCTTTCACCTCCCTGTATATTTTCGGCACCATACTGGAAAACGGGAACACGTAAGGATACCGAATGTCGTCGGGAAGGTCCCCTTCCCAAGGGAACGACAGCAACACTTCATTCAACTCTTCTTGATTGTTCACCTTTAACAGATAAACAATTATTTTACAGATAAAATAAATAAAACGGAGTTTTATTTGTTACTTCGATCGGTCGAAAGTCTTCGTCGGCGAGGATTTTACGGAACACCTGCACCCATCTCTGCATCAGCACCTCCGTGTAATGGTCTCTCAGTTCTCTTACGAGCTCCCACAGGGGCTTCACTGAATAACCGTAGTTCCTTAAAGTCGTACAAAACAACATTATCAGGTCTTTTATGCGCAAAATCAACGAGGCGTCCGTACAATAAGCCTGGAAAATAACACATAATATACTCGATTACTATCACTGTAAGTATACGAGAATTTTTCGGGATTTCCTCGGAAACTACTCTATCGATTTTTCTCAGACTTTCCTAAAATATTCTTCGAATTATTACTAATTACATGACGCAAACCGCGTTTCATTACCTCGATTTTCGGCGAAGTTATAGGGAGAAGTACACAGTAGATTCCCGCGCAAAAAAAAGAGCAGGAGGCCATGAATATACAGGGTGATTTATTCAAATTTAAGCGATTAGGCCTTCGGTTAAAGTGCGTGTAAAGGCTTATCTTACATCTTATAGTAGTAATACAATCCCGAGCCTTCATCTTATATTGACTACAGCCAATCTTCGATTAACCTGTCACCTGTCATCTTTACTCACCGTGTTCGTTTGAAGAGCCGTAACGACTTTCGAAAGCGCCATCGACCACATTTCGTCCAAAAAAGTCCTCGTTATCAATCCTCTGCCGGTATTCAGTACATGATCTTCCAATATAAAGAACCCCAACACGGCGTAAATGTAAATTCTATAACTCTCCTCGGACTCGTGCTGGAACAAATAACAGTTGTAGTTGTATACAGGGTGGTCTGTAAGTAATTGAGGAATCGATAGGATTCAAATCTGGCGAATACACTCCCCGTATAAATCGAATCGATTACCATATTAGAAGGTGGCTGTAGGACCAATCGGACTTGTTTGGTTCGTTCGGTTCTGTAGTAGGCCTCGAACGTGGAGGATCTGCCCAACACGTGGGCTATGTGCAATCCCCTGTATATGGGTGAGAAATCTATCAATTCCTGGGCGCTTCGATCTTCGTCCGAGAAATGGCCCGGGGGCTGCGGGGCGTTTCGTTTCTTCTTTCTACCCACTACGGTGGGATCGCTGGCGATTTGTTCGTTGGTCTACGATAAGATTGATTAATGATAATTCGATATTTAATCGCGATGGAATTTATTTACGTGTCTCATGGCCACCTCGCCGATTTTCGGCGAAAATTTCCTTATGTTTTCCAAAAAGTCTTTCAAATCCGACATCGAAGCGCCTTCGATCTTCTCTCTATATCTAAAATCGTTATATTTTATTAGATATTAATGAATTAGATGTTCTTTGTTATGTATGCTTACTTTGGTATATTCTCCTGTAATTGTTTCGAAAACCTATAATTCGCTACGTGGGGTAAATGCAAATGCTCCAGTTCTTCTAAAGTCTTTAAAGCTGGGTAGTATCTAAAAAGATAACAATTAAAGCACATTATTCTATTCTACTCTACTCTCCCCCATGGTAAATCCCAGGACTTTAAGATGCGTTCGATAATACATAAACGTCAAAATTGACATTAATGACAGAAGTTATAGTTAGAGGTGGGAATTGATATATTAGTATAGAGGTGCAGTAACGACCGTTACAAGATAACCGTTATTTTTCATATATTCAATTCTACTCAATACCCACCGTTTATCGGCTATTTGTTTCTGCAATTTGGAGTAAATAATAAAGACTGGAAGGCACAAATTCAATTGGGCTATGACGGAGGCAATGTTGTTTTGAACTTTCCTGGCTTGAAGTAAATCCGATGAGGATTTTGTGATTCCCCCGGCCGCATCGTGCACTTGCTTATCCAAACTCACGACTTGACTCTACAACAAATGAAAAAAAATATATCTAAACTATCGAATAAACTGGCTTAAATTACATTGAGTTTGTTCGCTTGAGATCTGACTTCGAGTAGTTCTTTGACGGATTCGATGAATCCTTGATAATAAACGTTGCACAATCGTTCGATGTCCTTATCGTGGTGTTTTATCCTTTCGTTTAGTTTCTTCTCGAATTCCAATTCTTGGTTATTATCGAATATGGCTCTGGAATTGTTTACGAATTATATTTACGAATGATCGTAGTGGGCGGATGCGTACCTGAATGTGGGGCCCCAATAATCGTCGATTCCTTCTATTTCTTGTAAATACAAATCGTACTGGGAGTTATTTACTGAGGAAATTCCGCTTTTATCCATTTTTTTGTTAATAATTTTAGGGATTTATTCATAAATTAGTATAGTAAAACAAATTTTGACATTTTACATGTTTAAATGTGTCTTCTTTTTCAGTAATTTTAAAATGGTCTCTTACTCGCAAGGTGAGTTAATATTTATTTAGTATCCCATTGAGAAAGAAAGATTTTGTTTTATTTTGTCTATGTAGAATCCTATGAAAGCCTAGAAGCGCCACGAAAATTGCTCTATAATAATAAAATAATTGATGAAATACAAAAGTGTACTAGATTATGTAATGGTTTGTTACGAATGTACTAGATTTAATTTTTTATGTTTATTATTTGAAATTATGTGATTATTTATTCATAAGAAATTAGTTGTTACTGTCCTTAATCAATTTTATGTAGATACAATAAAACCTATTACATGCTCTTTAAGTAAATTTTTAACAGGTAATCTAGTATATTTTTCAAAGAAATCCGTCATGGCGGGGGTTTATCTGTTTTAGACCAATCAAATCGCTCGATTCAACCAGCTGATTCATGACATTCAGGATTCTTTGTTTATCATCATAGAGAAGAATAAATTTACAATATCCTTAGTTCAAAAACTAGTTACAAGTATTTCTTTCAACAGAGCAGAACTAACAAATTAGGTGAGTCATTTTGTTATATTTGATAGTAAATTTTCCACAAGTTTGCTACGCATTTTCGAAAACATTTCTCGACATAATTTATCTATTTAATTAATTAGATTATGAAGGTCCTGGGGGGTCCTTTTCTTCGCCTTTTTCGCCTACGCTGGAGCCGTTTCTTTCTTTGATTTAGTCCAGGAAGAATGGGCCTCTTTCAAGGTCAGTCATTAGTTTATTTGTTACAAAAAATTAGTAAGAAAAAGTATCCAGAAAAACCACAAAAATATTAATTAAGAGAATTTTCTAGGTATAATGATGCCAGTATAATTACCAGTCGTTGGTTTTTTTATATTTTGAATATTGATTGCATTGAAAAATTTTTCGAGATTTTATTTATGAACTGCAAGAATTATTTTATTCATATTTCGAGTAAAAAAATAAAAAATAACTACATGTAACTATTAAATTGCGTTTTTTCTTTTTTCAAAAAATTGGAGAATTTTATTTATTAGTTAAATATTGGTATATCGATTATATTTTCTGTTATGTTTTTGCTTCGAAATGAACTTTGTATTTGTAATAATGAATCCCACGTGTTTAATAATGCTTACTTATAAATAATATATTTTATCTCTGTACTGATAAACGCAAAGGGAACTTCTTCATTTAGGTCAAATTATTATTATTGTTATTGTTTTATTTTATACGAAATAATCGATAACCTTTTCTATCCATTTTTGTTATGACTCTTCAGATTTTTTGCTAACAATTCTGTTTTGATGACAATATATTTTTCCAATTAATCAGCATAATAAGTTAATAAGTTTACTGAAATTTAATTTCGCATTTTACATATTCTACATTTAAATTTTCAATTCTAATAATCTCGTACAAAGATTCAATGATATTTAATTCATTTTCTACTGTTTTATAACGAAATTATACGAATGAAATCCGATATTTAACGCCCATTAAATAAGCTTTCTGCAAGCTTGCCGATTACAAAATATGAAATTCACAACAATGGAATTTTTATCAGTAAATGATAGTTGTGACTCAACAGAGATAAAACGTTATAAAACACAAATAAAACTTTACTCAACTCTCCAATAATTTTTATAATAATTATTTCACAAAAGATTAATTCAATATACCTCTATTATAGGGGTACATTGTTAGTTTGTTATACAGGTTGTCCCGTTCGGGTTAATCGACATATTTTAGCCTCCTGATCTGTGTGGGTTTTTATGAGGGACACCCTGTATTATAAGGGTTTGTTACATTAATTATAATAATACTTATTGTATGTACGTCAGGTAACGCACAAAAAGCAATACGAAAGCGTGACGGAGGAAAAATTCCGCATGAAAATCTTCATGGAAAACTCCCACAAAGTGGCCAAGCACAACAAATTATACGCCATGGGTTTGGTCTCTTATAAATTAGGTGAGCATTGTTAATAGGGTGCCATTTCGATGTTTGAAAACGCCTATAAATGTGAAAATAAATGTTCGAAGGTATGAACAAGTACGCCGATTTGTTGCACAGCGAATTCACCCATTTGTTGAACGGCTTCAACAAATCCAAAAACCTGCTCGGAGGGCAAGACATGGACGATTCCGTGACGTTCATCAAACCGGCCAACGTTCAACTGCCCGACGAGGTCGATTGGAGAGTCAAGGGGGCCGTGACGCCTGTCAAAGACCAAGGCCACTGCGGATCCTGCTGGAGTTTCAGCGCCGTAAGTTTCTTCTCTCCTTTTTGCTGTAGATTACTCCGAAATTACTCGTACTAGAAGCTTCTAATGTAGCTCAAATCGTTGAGAAAACATCACTCTTTAATCTCCAACAACATTCGATAATCTCCAATACCAGACTGGATCTTTGGAAGAGATGCAACACTTCAGGAGAACCGGAAAATTGGTGTCCCTTTCCGAGCAGAATCTCGAAGATTGCTCTAAAATTACTTACCCTAGAAACTTCCAATGTATCTCAAATAGTAGATAAAACATCACTCTTTAATCTCCTGTTTAAAATTCTCCCTACCTCTAACAATATTCGAGATATGAGCATATGAACTAATCATCTGATTTTCCCCAAAAAAACAGACTGGATCCCTGGAAGGACAACACTTCAGGAGAACCGGAAAATTGGTGTCCCTTTCCGAGCAGAATCTCGTAGATTGTTCTGGAAAATACGGCAACAACGGCTGCAACGGGGGCCTCATGGACAACGCCTTCCGGTACATCAAAGACAACCGTGGTATCGATACCGAAGCTTCCTATCCTTACAAGGTAATCCTGCATTTTATTGATTTTAAAAGTATAGAGACGGGCTTTTAATTAAAACAATTATACAGATTGCTTCAATTCAGACCGCAACATGGTCGTTTCTATGAGTTGAACAAAGAGAGATTAATAAAATGTCAGTTGTCATAGTGAAAAGTTGCAATCACACAAATCAGTCACTCTTTTCTTTTTCCTTTATAAGTGTCTTTGTTGCACCCACAGCCTATGTTGCAATGAAAAATGGAGGAATCTGTACATATATTCAATACTTTTAATAAGCCTGTTTATATTGATAAATACGATTAAACGTCGCAGGCCGAAGACGAGAAATGCCATTACAACGCTCGCACGAAGGGGGCCACCGATAAAGGTTTCGTGGACGTTCAATCGGGAGACGAAGACGCCCTGAAGGCTGCTGTAGCTACTATTGGACCCATTTCCGTTGCTATTGACGCCAGTCACGAAACGTTCCAGTTGTACTCTGACGGTGAGTTTAATGGAAAAGAGTACAATGAAGTTTTTGGTGAAATTTTTAATATTCTCCGTTTCCTATTAAGGCCACAATTAATTTTTAACCCTAGATATGTCATCTGTCATTTGATGTTACATTTCACTTTTGTTCGTTTCTTCCATTCTTCCGAACATTCCGTTCGAATTCTTACACCACTAATGATACAATGCATATACATATAAATAGATATACTGCTGGAATCGTTCAGAAAGCGTACCAATCATTAGAGTGCAGATATATAGGTCGGCGCTCTTCTGGACCAAATAGGGTTCTGCGCTTGCCCCGGTCATGTGATATTGAGCCGTGATAACGATTGGCTATCGTTTCTTAAAAGTTGGGTTATTGGGTGAATATCTTGTTTACGTTTTACGTTTACATGCTTCGTACTTTCGCTTCCGCCATTGTGATTGATTGTTTATAGTTTTAAGAGTGTTTTCCTTAAATAAAAATCATTATTAAATAATGATTAAATCAATGGATTTATTTTTTTTAATTAAAATATGTTAATATTATTAATTATTTGCTTCCAATTAACTAAATAACTTTTGTCAGTCAAATATTGTTTTTAGTTCCCTTATTTAAACATTCTCAAACAAATCCAACCCATTTTTAATAGCTTTTCATTCTTTTAAGCAGTATAATTTATGTTTAAATAATGGTGTTAATTTAAAATTATTGGCATTTGGCGGTAAAAACTGTACTTGCGCGCTTTTGACAAAAGTCCAGATGGGTGCAGAATGTTCATCGGACCTCTCTCTTTGATTGGGACGCGACTAGCTCACGGCTGGGGTAGGGAGCGAGCAGTATATATATTTATATGTAAATGATACAATGTAACTCATTCGCTTTTGTGATTGGTTAGCCACTTTACACGTCACCTATCAAAATGTTTAAATTTAAAATGGCTACATTTTCTAAAATACCGAATATTTTCATCAACTGAAAAGCACTTTGAGTTCTAATGACTTATTTCTATTCATATTACCGGTTAAAAACCGTATATCTCACATCGTACTCCTATCCACTGGCCTTTTACTATACTCGATTCAAGCTAGTTTTTTCTTTCGTAGGAATCTACTCGGATCCGGAATGCAGCTCGACGGATTTGGACCACGGGGTGTTGGTGGTGGGTTACGGTACGGACGGGGACGATAAGGATTATTGGTTGGTGAAGAATTCGTGGGGGCCCAGCTGGGGTTTGAACGGGTACATTAAAATGGCCAGGAACAAGAATAACCTTTGCGGGGTGGCTACGCAGGCCAGTTATCCGCTTGTGTGATAACCCGGGCGGGTTATGAACTTTACTGATGGTTATTTAGGAGATTATGTTTCGCCTCTCTTTTTTTGTATCGTTTCTCGAATGGTAGATTAGTTTAGGATGATTCTTTTTTTGTATTTCTTTTATTAGTGGATTTCATTTTGTAATTATGTCTCTTCTAGCATCGATGATTCTCTTTTATCAGTATAGGCTGTGTTATGTATTTTATTTAAAAGCAACAGTTTCGTTTGAATTAGTGTCGAGTGTAAAGTTATTCAATCGCTCACGTTTTATTTCGTTTGGAAATTAATAAAGAATATTTTAAATATTTGTACTTTATTTTAACACCTTAATTAACTGATTAAAACTTCGATTATTTCATTAAAATCAGTCAAAAACCATTTGGAATTTGCTTTAACCTTCGGCCTAATCACGTTACCTCCGTAACCTGAAAAAAAAATTCGAAACTTTGAATTAAAATATCTCGTAAACTACACAATTTACGTAAAATTTTCTAACTTGCAAAGTTATAGAGAAAAGATTTCTCTACAATATGCCGTTTAATTCGAATTTATATCTTTAGCGGTTATCGAGTAATCACCTATAAAAGCGTCGGCGGGCGGGCAGGCTTCCAAATCGGTTACTCCATCGCCTACTAAGACGACTTTTTTGTAACCGAATTTCTCTTTCAATTGTTTAATTACAACGGCTTTCCCGCCATTTTCCGAGGTCGGCTCGTTTTCGTCGAAGCCCGCAAATTCGCCTGGAAAATTCGCAATTTCATCATCATTTCATCATCGAGTAATCATTTTTATTACCCGAGTAGTAGAATTTCATTCTATTGGCGAACACGTTTTCCAAGGGAATGTTCAATTGATGCGCAATCGGTGCAATTATGCACTTGAATCCGCCGGAAATCAAGTAAACGGGAATCTTACGGTCCTGCAAAAGACTCACGAGCTTCCTAAAATATAAATAAATAAGTAAGTAAATAAAGGTAATTTAATAGTCCGGTTTACTTGATTCCGGGAGTCAAAGTAGGCGGTTTGGTTTTCAAGAATTCTTTGATATCCAGTTGGCTGGGCCTCAAGATGTCCAGGCGGCGCTTGAGGGATTCCCGGAAGGTCATGTTGCCCGACATGGCCATGCCGGTCCTGGAATAGAGAAAAAATCGATACAATTCGAGCACTAAGGGGTTGCAAAAAGGGTATCGAAAACACTTACAAATTCGAAATTTCTTCGCCCTTTTTCAAAAACCTCGCCAACTCATCGATTCCTTCTTCTTGTATCACAGTCGAATCGACATCGAAACAGAAACAATCTGATTTTTGAACGGTCTCCCTTACGCACGAAGTCATTTTAACAATAAAAAAATATACTCAAAATTCTTCAAAAACGAGCTAATCTGAACCAAATTAGTTGGCTTTGGATATGCAATTTCTATACCAAAATGTCGAAATTTGACCTTTCGCTTGAACCGCCTTGTTTACATTAAAATCGATAATACGTAAAACATTCTGTAATAAATAAATAAATAAAACAACCAAAATGTTGAAATTGCATTGTATGTTTATTTGACGTTTTAAAAAGTTAGGTTAGGTTAAATTGAAGTAGTGACTAAACTTGCCATAACGAATACTTAAGTTGCTTTCATAATTATGAAAACACAAACGGTTTCATACAAACGCAACTATCAATTCTATAAAGCGCTAGATTAAAACGTTTTTTATTTTTAAATAATGAAGTGATTGTGTAATTTTATTGCATTATTAATAATTAAATAATTTACCGGTAACGTATTTCTAGTCACTTTCTTTAAATGACAATTATGACAGCAGACAATTTGCGTATGATGTAAATAACAACTAAAACCATTCTGTTTATTCCCAATATAAAAATGGATATTTTAAAAGCAGAAATAGCCAGAAAACGTAAACTACTAGAAGACAAAGAGCTCTTGGTAAGTATTCCAATAAATCGCAGTACAATTAGCTTATAGTAACCTCTTTTAGAGCGGAGAGAAAAAGTATTTCAAGCGGGGCGAACTGATAGCAAAAGAACAAGAAGAATACCGTAAAAAATACTCCGTACAAAACGAAACCAACGAAACATCTTCAGCAATCGTGGAAGGTTGTTAAAAATATTAAACATTCCATTAATAACTATAATAATCCGTTTGGTTTTTCAAGGCGAAGAAATCGAATCGAACCTCCAGCACAGCATCCTGCCCAGGCAAGAAGTCATAGCGAGACTCAGGGACAGAAACGAGCCCATTCTGCTATTCGCAGAGACCGAATTAGACGCCTTCACCCGGCTCAGGAAATGCGAACTATTAGAACCGGAAATAAACCGAGTAAGTCCATCGGCGAATCGAATAACATCGAAATTACGTAATATCTCTTATTGCAGGGCTTCCGAAACGATTTGCAAGAGGCCATGGAGCAAGTAGACCAGGCCTACTTGAACGAATTGCTCGAAGACGCCGAGGAGGCGAAGGTGTCGGAGAAAAAGGACAAATTGCAACAGGAGCCCACGATCGAGTACGAAAAGATCAGGGAAATGGCGAAGAGCATGGGCAGGGGGAACAGGGAACACGATATGACAGTAATCGTTCATTTTATACAAGTATGTGTTTTATTAACATTTTTTAATCGGCTCGTTTTAAGTAGATGTTTACGGTGCATAGGATGGTGGTGATGCCTTTTTGCTATAGCTTACAGCCGATCCTTCTGAATCTGAAAATTATCAAATTAATCATTTCCTCTTAAATAATCGAGTATAACGAACCTGTACGAACGTGCGCCGGAGCCGAAGGCTGGCTGGTACCTTGTTCGGTAACAGTCGACACTGTTACGAGCGGTACTATTTTAAGTAAACGACCTGAAAATGAAAACATATTACTATTCTATTTATCGATTATGACTCGCCGTGCTCGGAAAAGGGGAATTTTTCCGATTTTCTTAATGAAAAAACACCCTGTACATCAAATTAAATGTCAACGTATCCCGTAGTAACGGAAATGACAACTTTGACAGTTCGAAGTTTTGTTCATCGCCGCTGTCATTAGTGCATGCTTTTTTTAAATTTAATCATTTCTCGGTTATTATAGTAAATATAAATGACCAAAGAACATGTAATTGTGGGAATTGTGGTAATTTCTTTTATTCTCATCCATTAAAAGCGACGAAATGTTGCAAATAACGAAAAAATCGTATCCCGCAGTAACGGAAATGACAACTTTGACAGTTCAAAGTTTGTTCATCCCCGCTGTCATTAGTGTAGATTTTTTTAAAAATAATCCCATCGTTTCTCGATTTTTGGTAAGTACAAATGACCAAGAAATATTTTTGCGAATTATTGCAATTTCTATTATTCTCGTTCATTAAAGGCGACGAAATTGTCAAAATAACGAAAAAAATCTGTCATTTCGGTGTTAGTTCCGTTTAAACCAAACGAACGGAGAACCGGCCATCAAATAATATTTTTGAAAATCTGTCAAAAAGTCAAAAATTTTAATTTTTTATATTCGATTTACGGACAAAAAACTAATTTAGGTAGGGAAAAGAGGTCGATTTTCGTAACCAGCGACTTTTTACGTCCCCCTAGATACCTCTGTATGCCCAAGTAATTCATTTTTAATTTCTATCGCCAATAAATCGCCCTAACTGGGTTCTATCTTTATATATATAAAAAAAATACAAAATTAGATACCTTTTTTGACTAAAAGTCTTCGTAGATTCTTGTGCGTTGTATTCAAATAGAACATGTAGAAAACTTGCAGGACCACCATTACTCCTATTAGGACGTAGAGCAGGATGAAGACCAAATGGGGCCCGCCCGAGGGCTCGTCGTTGGTAAACGCAGGCCAGAAATGTACCATGGTTACCTTATTTCTGGCAAGAAAATAATTTCAACACCTCGGGGCTCTCTATTATCTCTATTTGCATTCGCTTTAGCCCGGTTATCTTCGCAATATACTTGAATATGGCTGTTTAAATAGACTGCTTAAGCCTTTTTTTTATTGTTTCTTTTGTTGGATTTAATTCTAAATTTAACAATCGGTCGTGTTTGTACAGTTTGTACAATGAGAAAAGAAAAACGGAACGAATTTAAATGGTTTATTGATAAGATATAATTAGCTGGAATTTGTTTAATTTTTCCGGTGTCACGAGAACCTCACCGAGCTGATTAGTTTGGGAACACCTGTGCCTGTATCGCGAATAATTAATAAATTAATTACAATGTAAATACATAATGCGAAACTTACTCAAATCAACGTTATCCGGATGGATCGGCTTCAGAACTTTCCTTCCCCAGCTCGATTTCACTTCCAAAAAATAATATCCTGTCAACGAGAATCGTTCAATAAAATGCTAGATCGACACACCCCTGTATATATATTATATTCACCTTGGTCTAGAAGTTTGTACATTTTCTTTTTGTGCGCTACAGCCAGGATAATTTGCAGCAAAACTCCCGCACAAGCGACCGAGAATATCGATAATAATACGATTCCTGCGGTGAACATTTTTCCTGCTCGAACTCGACCGGTCGAATGAATTATTTCGCTTTAATTCAGGCTCGTCGGCGGTATCTTATCGTTGAGACAACAAAACGTTAATTCCGCGCGTTAATAACGCATAAAAGATTTATTTTCGTTTCTTTTTCAGCTGATTTTGAAAGAATGGAACGAGCAATTGCAGAAGAGGAGCAAAGAGGAGAAAGCCGGGACGAAAGGGAAGTTGAAAGGGGCCACGTACGCCCAAACGCAGGAGTACCTGAGGCCCCTGTTGAGGAAATTGAAGAACTTCACGTTGCCCGAAGACATCTCCGATAGCCTCACCGAAATCGTCGTGCACGTGCTGGAGAGGAATTACATAAAAGCGAGTAAATTTCCATAAATATAGGCTTTGTGATTAATTAATTCTGTTTGTTAGGCCAGCGTGGCTTTCCTGCAAATGGCGATAGGGAACGCCCCGTGGCCCATCGGGGTCACCATGGTGGGCATTCACGCGCGTACCGGTAGAGAAAAGATCTTTTCGAAGAACGTAGCGCACGTGATGAACGATGAAACGCAAAGGAAGTACATCCAGGCGCTCAAAAGGCTGATGACCAAATGCCAGGAGTTTTATCCGACCGATCCTTCCAGGTGCGTGGAGTACCAAGCGTTCGGTAAACCCGAAACCTCCGATTCTGTACAGCTGTAGATATTAGTTTTGTAAATAAAGTTTTTTTAAGATGTATGTGTTTGAATTTATAGTAAAAGGCCCGGTTTATTTAAGGGTTGTTCACTAAGGTAGAGGCCAAGTGCAGCTAACTTCACGTAGTGAGAGACCTGTTGCCGGTTCACGAATCTAGTACACTTTAGTTTTCCGATTTTGTTCTTCGTTCGTTTATATTACGCAAATTTTATTATTCTACTTTATTTTTTCATTATTAGTAATATAATTGTTCTCTCGAATCGCGGTTCGAATAAAAAATATAAGCATTTTATATGCAATTTGCTCTAGTACTTTTAAGCATAAATCCGGCAACATTGCCGAATGTCGATTAATGCCGATGTTTCCGGGTGTCAACTGTCACAATTTCTTTTTACATCGTGTTATGGTGGCAGAGTAGGTAAGTTTTCGATTTTCTTTAATAATTCGTTTATTCGAAACGTTTTGAACGCCAAATCATCGTCGAGTTACTCGTTAATTTATATTAATTCCATTATTTCAATAATTTGAGCGAAAGGAACGTAATATATGAATATTAAAAAACCACGCCATGTGCCTTGAGTGTATTGCAAACCCGTGAATTATCTAGTTCAAAACTCGATTGAATATGACTATTCTAGTCAATTAAACATTAACTACAGGTAAGTGACCAAAGAATATGCCATAATGAATAATTTATAGTCATATTCAAAGAGTATTGAATATGATTATAATTATACCAATAACTACGATTTAATTTTAGATAAGAAGCCCCAAATATGCCGCAAAACGAGTACATCGAACGCCACCGCAAGCTCCACGGGCGCAGGCTCGACTATGAAGAGCGAAAACGCAAACGCGAGGCCCGCGAGCCCCACAAGAGGGCCCAAATAGCCCGAAGCCTGCGCGGCATCAAAGCCAAGATCTTCAACAAAGAGCGGCGCAACGAGAAGATCCAAATGAAGAAGAAAATCAAAGCGCACGAAGAGAAGAAGATCAAGAAAACCACCGATAAAGTATCCGAAGGGGCCCTGCCCGTCTATCTCCTAGACAGGGACGTCCAATCGAGGGCCAAAGTGCTCTCGAACATGATAAAACAGAAGCGCAAAGAGAAGGCTGGCAAATGGGACGTCCCCATACCGAAAGTACGAGCACAAGCCGATGCTGAAGTTTTAAAAGTCATCAAATCGGGCAAATCGAAGAGGAAAGCTTGGAAACGAATGGTCACGAAAGTCACCTTCGTAGGCGAAGGATTCACCAGGAAACCCCCTAAATTCGAACGATTCATCAGACCGATGGCTCTGCGATTTAAAACCGCCCACGTAACGCATCCCGAACTCAAAGCCACTTTCCATTTACCCATTATAGGCGTCAAGAAGAACCCCAATTCCGCCATGTTCACCAGCTTGGGGGTGATCACCAAGGGTACCGTGATAGAAGTGAACATTTCCGAATTGGGTCTCGTCACGCAAGGCGGTAAAGTCGTGTGGGGGAAATACGCACAGGTCACGAATAATCCGGAGAACGATGGATGCATCAATGCAGTGTTGCTAGTTTAAGTGTCTTTATAATGTTAGATGTAAACTGTTTGTGTTGAGAATAAAGCTATCCTTTTCATTTATATACAAATCGTTTTAAATCCACTAAACTACTTTAATTCGTGCGATTAATTTTACTCTTTCATTTTACAGGTAGCTCTCGAACGCCATGCAGATATTCGTGAAAACCCTAACGGGTAAGACCATCACCTTGGAGGTCGAGCCCTCGGACACCATCGAGAATGTCAAGGCGAAGATCCAGGACAAGGAGGGGATTCCCCCGGACCAGCAGCGATTGATCTTCGCCGGTAAACAATTGGAAGACGGTCGTACCCTGTCGGACTACAACATCCAGAAGGAGTCCACCTTGCACCTGGTGCTCCGTCTGCGCGGAGGCGCCAAGAAGCGCAAGAAGAAGAACTACTCGACTCCCAAGAAGATCAAGCACAAGAAGAAGAAGGTCAAGTTGGCCGTTTTGAAGTTTTACAAGGTATTTTTTTTTTGAGTTGTAGAAGCGTTGTTGTGCGATTGATTAACTTGTTTGTTGGATTTTTTAGGTTGACGAGAACGGGAAGATTCACCGGTTGAGGAGAGAGTGCCCTGCTGAGCAATGCGGCGCTGGAGTCTTCATGGCCGCCATGGAAGACAGGCATTATTGCGGCAAGTGCGGGTACACTTTGGTGTTTTCCAAGCCCGGAGATGAAAAATAGATTGTAAGGTTACGAGTTGTAATATAAAAAGTTTATAACTAAGCGTTTTTGTTTCAATTTTTCTAATTTTTTGATGAATGTTAAGCACTATCGTATTTTTCTGGTAAGGTTTGGAAACCTATACTTCATCCATCCAAGCGATGGAGTAACTAAAACAAGTTTAGACGCTGGATCAACGCGTGATGATCAGTGATTGGTCAGCGTAAGGAGGCTTTTTTATTTTACCCAATAGATGCGAATGTGCACGATGATCCAGCGTCTAAACTTGTTTTGGTTACTCCGTTGGTTCAATGGATGAAGTATAGCTCGAAATAGTGGTTATTTGAAGATAAACAGGGTTCCTAAAACAGCCGCTAGGCTGTTGTAAAGGATCACGGTTTTTTGCATACCAACATAAAATTATATAGAACTGTTAAGAAAGGTTTTATTAGATAAAAAATTTACTTAAATCAGCTATGATTTTGTTGCTAACATGCCTTACGTAACTTCGGTTAATATATTTCTCCATTTTCTCCTCGAAATGTCAAATACGTTTTGACAGTTTGGTAAAGGATTTTTACGTACCAACAATAGAACTATTAAGAAAGGTTTTATTCAAACTAAAAAAATAGATAAAAAAATATACTTAAATCAGCGATGATTTTGTTGTTAACATCATGCCTCGCGTATGTTCGGTTAATATATTTCTCCATTTTCTCCTCGAAATGCCAAAAAATAAGTTTTGACAGATTGAACTCTCGTCTCACTACCGCTATGTAGTGAAGCTCAACAAGTCTTCATTTAACGGGACTCATTCTCTAATGCAAAATCATAGGCCGTTTCAAGACCTTAGAAATATAGGGCCGTGATGTAAAGCTTACAATAGTTTCGTAAAATGTGTGTTGCATAATTGTCAGAATAGTAAAAAGGTAGCCGTTTAACCGAGATACTGAAGGCCGCGTAGTTACTTTTGGTTTATAAATTTGACGTTACGTAAGTTACGTTGGCAACAATGAACATTTCGATGTAATGGTGGATGAATAGTCAAGTTTTGGGTTGTTGTAAATTAAAACGTCGTCATCGGTCATAGATCAAGGTTCCGAATTATCTTCCGAACCATATTATTCCAAAAATAGCGTGTAAAATATCATTTTGTTCGCAAATTCCACGGCAAATAGTTCAGCATGAGCACGCTTTACACGTTAGCCGAAGTGAAGAAGCACAACGACAACAAGAGTACATGGATCGTCATTCACAACAATATTTACGATGTGACTGCCTTCCTGAATGAGGTAAATACCATTAAATAATCAATTACGACATAATAAACCTGCCGAGTCATCGCTGTGATTGTATAATTACCCGCAAAAATAACTGGCAATTAGCGGAGATTTTTCGGACTTGTAATATCATTGATAAGGTATTATTTATAAAATAACACGTCGACGTCCTTATTTATTCAGCAAATAGAAATAGAAGTCGATTATTCGGTTTTATCAGTAAAAAAACGTTGTTTAAATATCGGATATTTATCTTTTACCATTGTTCATTGCATTAACTAATTAGTATTACATTTAATGTCTTAATTGGTATTGGCGTTACTCGCTTATTATCATACGTTTTTAAACGATTATTTTGCCGGCCTTGTCGCCAACCTTGCACAGCTACTTCAAATATTATCGAATACCTACTATTATTTTAATCGTCTCTATAATTACACTTACTCTGCATGCAAAACCGTCCCTATAACTCCCAAAAGGACCCGGTTAATGCTTACGTAATCGTCTTTTGTAGCATCCCGGGGGCGAAGAAGTGCTGTTGGAGCAGGCCGGTCGGGAGGCGAGCGAAGCCTTCGAGGACGTAGGCCACTCGAACGATGCCAGGGAATTGATGGTGAAATACAAAATCGGGGAGCTGGTGGAGGCCGAACGCACCGCCGTCAGGACTAAAAACGTCGATTGGGGCGTTTCGTCCAACTCCGAAAACGCATCACAAAAGTAAGTACCCCCCATAGATATCTAATTATAATACTAGATAGTGAATGTAGGTAGAGGGGGTGAATAAATTATGGTTCCAATTGAAGCCATATTGGAAGTAGAAAGTTAAAAGTGTTGCATATATATTTATCTAATATTTTAAACACATTTTAACAATTTAAATTTAGTATTACAGTATTATTGATGAATGAAAAGAATTAATTTATTTAATTGTTGTCGTATACTTCTTTTATTTGTAAATTATAAAGATGATTTACATAGTGAAGCTTTTGTTAAGATCGTTACACTTTCAGTTAAGATCAAATATTTATTACCTATGAAAAAATATTCCTTCTTTTAAGTGGTCACTTGTTTTACACGACATGATGCTATAATACTTTAGCATTATGAATTATCCTACAAAACTACAACACTAATCAAAAAGTCCTATCTTACACTAATTCAAAATAACAAATAACATTAATAAAACTACAAAAAAACACCTAAAAATTTCGGACCAAAATCGTAAATGAGATGTAAATAAAATGTACGGAAACCTAAAGAATACCCACCCAAACGAAAATTATCATTAGTTTTATAACTACTTAAACACCCACTTAAATGGGTTGCATATTACAATTCTACTACCAATATGGCGTCTGTGGAAGCTGATTTTTTTGACTTGTGCATATTCTAGTATTATTACATTTGATTTCTATGGTATCCTCGTTTTAATTTTACTATTAAACGTGTTGGTGTGGAAATGGCTGGATGCCTTATAGGCAAGAGGTTAGATAGGGTTTAATATAAAATATATTTTTTTTGTGCAGTTCGTTTAAATCGTGGATAATTCCGATCGCCTTAGGAGTTCTCGCCACTATCTTGTACCGTACGTATTTCCAATCCTGAAGGACGATGTAATAGGTTTAAGTTTGATCGAAAAAAAAGCATTTATATGGTTCTAGGGACTACGTATTTTATAGTTTAATTGATAAATATAGTTTAAATGATAAAAAAATAAATATAAAATTTATATTACTATTACTTATCAGTTTAAAAGTTGCAATTCCTTTTTTGTTATGTAATACCTACTTTTTTGATGTTTGTTCGAAAGTAAGTGGAAAAAATACAGTTAATTTTACTATTAGTTGGATTATTTAGTATTAATCACATACCCAACCAGTCGTTCATAAATTCAATCATTTTTGACGCCAACATTGAAAATTATCTGTCACAATGGCTCGTCCTTTAAACGAAAAAAACTGTCAATTTCATCAACTTTAAATTTGTAAAATAAATGTCAGAGCCAAGAAACCATAGCAATAATTAATTGACACATTTTATAGTGCGTTCAGAATTAATTCTTAAATGTATCAATATGCCCGGTGGTTAAAACTAAATTGGTCTTCACGTGAATATGCGTTATTAAAATGTTTTCAAATTTGGAGGTTGACTTAAGAATGAAATTACTTTTAAAACGAGGTATCACTTGACCCCACTTTCCATAAGAAAAAAAGATTCAAAATGGCGCCTAACTGTCATTTTGAAAGTTTCAACTGTCATTTTTACGTCAATAAATAGCATTTTTACTCCAATATAAACACCCCAAATTGCGCGACAAAAACTCTTACCATTCAAAAGTTAAAGGGGGGGCGACGGACTTTTGGTCCTCACTGTATATCTATGGTTTCTTTGAATTTTTCTTTAGTTTCTTCGAATAAACAGATGCAACTGCAGTTTATTCAGCCAAGAAAAGAGACACGGCAACACAGCATCGTCGAAAAACGTGTGAGATTTTGCAAACAGTTTCATCAGTTTTAGTTCTATGGTATTAATTTATTTACATTTTCACGACACACCAAAATCAATTTATTTAACAACACTTTTATTCGATACAAAAAAAAAAAAACAAAAAAAAAACATCCAGGCATCATCGTTCTTCTTTGAGCACGTGCCTCTCCCTTTCGGGTACGAACGGCACTTCGCCCGGCTTGGAATGCGCCCTCCTGTTGGCCTCTTTCCTCTTCGATCGCTCTTTGATCGTTCGCAGCTCGCCCTGGGCGTTGTACACGTGCTTGGGCACGTGCCGGTGCCTCGCTATCCTCTTCACCTGCGGATGGCTGGCGTACTTCTCTTTCAAGGCCTCGCTGTACCGCAACGCCGCCTTTTCACGCGGCTTCAACTATAAAAATAAAAAACGCCAGAAGTTATTCTGCCTTATTCGTAGTCGTATTTAGTGGCTACTAACATCTCACTATTTAAAAAATCGTATTCGTAGTTCCGTTTAGTGGCTACTATGATGTTATTTTTGTTAGTAGCCACTGAATTTCTTAGTGGTGTTACAAAAGGGGTGTTTAAGTTATTTTTAAACAAAATTTAAAACAGTCAACAAACGTTTAGTGCGTGAAATCGAGCGTACACTGCGTTTTTTTCTGCCTTTTTTACTACCCTTTTGCTAAGTATCTTATCGTTACTAATATTCTAACATTCTAAATGATTCTGGATAGTTATAAATGTTTCTGGAGCATTCTAAATGATTCTAGAGCTTTCTACATGATTCTAGAGCTTTCTACATGATTGTAGAGCGTTCTAAATGATTCTGGAGCATTCTAAATAATTGTTAAGTATTCTAAATGATTCTACGGCTTTCTACATGATTGTAGAGCGTTCTAAATGATACTAATATTTGAATTTCAACTGGATTTCGTATTAATACATTTACTTCTTCAGCTTCTTACATGCACCTTTCTATAAATATCTAACTGCTAACTAATACCGATATACTTTATTTCAAAAGCTGATGGTCTCAATACTTCAAAAAGACTGGCAAAAATGTTGAGAAAAAAAGTTTTTAGTTTTTTTTCACTATTTGTTGCATTTTGAGAGGAAAAAGGATAAAATTGTTGTACTTTCAAATACCAATAGGTAGTTATCAAAGAGGTATAAACCGTTCAAACTTTGGTATCAAAAATACTTGGAAAAAGTGTATAATTGGCTAATAATCATGATTTCTGTTAAATAACGGCTTTCGCCGTAAAGTTTTCCCAAAAATAAGATTCACTGGAATTTTATCCTTTTTCCCATCACCCATTCAATTAATCTCAGCACGTTCTTCTGACACAATAACGTCAATAACATAACCAAAATCTCCAATATTAAATAAAATTTTAAGTTATTTCCGTTGCTGCCACATTCATTTTTCTGCTAGCATTATTTTAACTAGTGGAAAATAAATATGCAACTATGAATAGGAAACGTTAGTGGCTTGTCAGTACAATATTAATAGCCACTAACTAGTGGTGTTTAAACATCATTTTAAGGAATCTACTATGAATTAGGCTGATTGTATTTGAGTTAAAAACGTATAGTACTAACCGGTCCTAATTTCTCCGAAGCCTTCGCTTTCCATATTCTTATGTTCATTTCATCGGATCCGCTTAGAACATATTTGCTATCTAACGACCACAATACGCAGGTGAGCCTTTGCATGCGCTTCGTGTGGTAGATTTCCCTCGAATGTCCTTTTTCCGCTTCGAATATCCTCACCGTCTTATCGTAACTGCCCGATACGAATTCCCTACCGGTGGGCGAGTAATCCACGTAAGTTACGGCTCCCACGTGATCCATATGGACGTTTACGGGTTTCTTTAAGTTGCGGGAATCGAACGTGTACAAGCTACGAAAAAATTCGATTGAAATATTAACGGGGTCTTGCACCAAACTCGAACTAAATGAAAGTTAATTCAACTAGCTAAAAACTCTACAAACTTGAAGAGCGTTCAAAGGCGATTCAAGAGAGGTTTTCGTTTTGATATTTGAGTTGTTAGCACCAAAAAGTGAGATTGATTTTCTGATCTATAATTTATTATGCAAAATGGACGTATTATTAGAAGAATTAACCGACGATGAAGATTTTTTTAGAAGTTTTAAATGGCTTTTTTACATCCTAGAAGGCCACAAACCTTCAGAAATAGACCGAGTAATTTTAAAATATGGTCTGATATTGAATTTAAATGTAGTTTTCGATAGTTCCAGTCTAAATAATTTAAAATAAATATCAAAAATGAAACAACACTGTCAACTGTCAACCATCTGTCAATGTTCAAATTGTTAATTGAAAAGTTTGACACGGGACATTATATTTCTGATGAACAACGGAGTTCAGTCAAACTAATGTTAATCTTCCACTCTACAACGAAAACCATTGAATTTAAATGTAGTTTTCGATAGTTCCAGTCTAAATAATTTAAAATAAACGAAATACGAAATATCAAAAACGAAACAACACTGTCAACCATCTGTCAATGTTCAGCCAAACTAATGTTAATCTTCCACTCTACAACGACAACCAAAAACGAACTCGGTTCAAATTTGACCGGCAGTTTAGTCGAACAAACATTCACCTAAGACATCTACAACCACCCTTAAATCCCATTTGGCGCAACAACCCGTAAGTAATAAACCATAATCTTACTTGTAATCCTCGTTGGCCGTGGTGAACACGAAAGGCTCCATGGGATTCCAGCACAACTTGTTGGTCTTGAGCTTCATGATGACTTTGCGCAAGGGCAATTTCTCCCTGGTATCGTACAGTATGATGCTACGATCGCTCGCGCACGCCGCCAATATATTACCTTCGACCGGATTAAAGGCCACATCGTGTAATGTATCGATTCCCCATTCGATCGTACGCAACGGCTCGTTTCTGGTCTCGTCCCACAGCTGGCACAATTCGCCCGATGTAGCGAAAGTATTATCGGTATAGTGATGGGATATACCTACAAAACAAGCGTTAGAAATGTCGATTAAAAGCAACGAACAATCATATTCAGAGTGTTCCGTCTCAGACGAGCCCTAACAAGACTAACCTGACAAGACCGTTTTGCTTAGAATGGTATTAACAGGTTCCTCGTCCTCTCCGAACGCCGGCTCGTCGGCGCTCCAAGTCTTGATGCTCTTATCGTCTCCGATCGTGATGAATCGATCGCCTGTGATCGTGTAGACGATGCCTCGTACGATGCCATCGTGGGCGACGAATTCCCTGGTGCAAGTCCTTTGGGGCAGGTCCCAGACGCGCACCTCGCCGTCGAAGGCGCCGCTGCAAAGCAGGGAGATCCTGCTGGGGTGTTTGGCCATGGTGGAGACTCCATCGCGGTGGCCGTCGAGGCTGCCGAGGAACGGTTTGGCGAATACTTTGTCTAATTTGACGGCGTTTAGGGCTTTTACGTACTCGCGGGCCGCTTCGAACGGGTGTAGGTCGGGATCGTAGTTTCGTTGGACTACAACAAACGGTATTTTGTGTTGGTGTTTTGATGTAATTATAGAATGTATTTACCTTTGTGGATGTGTAGTTTGGTTTCGCGCAGGTGCTCATCCGGGTTCCTGCTTATCACTTTTACTTTCATTGTTTCGTTTGTATATGGAATGAATGTTAAATGAGTACACTGCGTTACATTTCACGTGTTTTTGTTGGTGTTTTTCTTCTTCTTTTATATTGCAAGTGATTTTAATGTGGCCTCGTTTATGAAGGTATTCGGTCAAAGGCTACCCTTCGTGTTACAGAACCATAGATAGCGCTGGAGTCGCTAGATTGTAAAAGTGGTTGCCTATTCAATTTGCAAACTGGAAATTTGAATTTTGGATTTTCGAAACATTTTCGGCATTCGACAATTTCTTTTTGAGGTGTCTCGATAGTGCTGTTCCTGTGGTAGTGTTAAGTTGTGTAAATTGTAGATTGTGCCTGTGCCTTCTGTTTAAAGACTTTTATAATTGAAACATTCGTTTAATGTTTTCGTTTGTGGTAAGTAGTATCAAACTTTTTTGCACGTATTTTTATTTAATTGATTTTTGTTTATTACTGTCTAATATGAATAAGTGACAGATAATTTTCAATGTTAGGGTCAAAATTTTTTGAATTTATGAATGATTGAAGTAGGCGAAAAATATATTACAAAATAATTAGATTGATGATAAGCTTAAACTAATAAAAAAAATGCGATTTTAGCGGTGCGGTTTTTTTCATTTTTCTTTTAAGTTTGCCAACTCTCGTATTTTCAAGTACGCTGTCGATAATATTCTCGCAGATAAGAAAGAACACTTCAATGATACTCATGAAACTGATGCCTAGAAACAAATTTAAAGTTCCTCCAATGGATACTGTAAAAATAAATAATTAAATTACATCACAAGGACGTTGATGTGAAAGAGCGCGTTTTACCAATTAAATCGCCAAAACCGAATATTATATCTCTTCTGTACTTTGTAGTGGGATGTAACAAACCCCATCTGAACGTTGTCATTTGATCGAAATAAGCTCCAGTTTCCCTACAAAAAAAATCATTTTCCACTGTTATTTTGACCTAAAATCGTTCTGAAACGAGCTACTATTGTATACAGGGTGTTCCTAAACATGTACACGATGTTTGTATCTTACCAAACCACCAATTTCGGAATTTCCGGCAAGTAATTGATAAAATTACAAGTTTGAGGACATTTGCAACCCAAAGATTTCGGATTTTCCAATAACTGTTTCTTATATTTAGCCAAGCACAGTAACCCGGTAACGTTGCACGTTTTTCCTTCTGAAAATACAACAAATTATCTCTCTATCTTCGAGTCTATTTAAACTCCAGTGGCCTCTAACATCATACTAACAAGCCACTAACGTTTCCTATTCATAGTTTCATATTTCTTTTCCATCCCCAGGTGATGGGAAAAAGAATGAAATTCCAGTGAATCTTATTTTTGGGAAAACTTTACGGCGAAAGCCGTTATTTAACAAAAATCATGATTATTAGCCAAGGATACACTTTTTCCAAGTATTTTTGATTCTAAAGTTTGAACAGTTTATACCTCTTTGATAACTATATCTATTGGTATTTGAAAGTACAACAATTTTATCCTTTTTCCTCTCAAAACGCAAAAAATAGTTAAAAAAAACTAAAAACTGTTTTTTTTTTCTCAACATTTTTACCAGTCTTTTTGAAGTATTGAGACTACCAGCTTTTGAAATAAAGTATATCGGTATTAGTTAGCAATTAGATATTTTTAGAAAGGTGCATGTAAGAAGCTGAAGAAGTAAATGTATTAATACGAAATCCAGTTGAAATTCAAATATTAGTATCATTTAGAACGCTCTACAATCCTGTAGAAAGCTATAGAATCATTTAGAATGCTCCAGAATCATTTAGAACTGTCTATAATCATTTAGAACGCTCCAGAAATATTCAAAACTGTCTAGAATTGTTTAGAACAATTCAGAATCATTTAGAACGCTCTACAATCATGTAGAAAGCTCTAAAATCATTTAGAACCTTCTACAATCATTTAGAACGCTTCAGAAATATTTATAACTATCCAGAATCATTTAGAATGTTAGAATATTAGTAACGATAAGATACTTAGCAAAAGGGTAGTAAAAAAGGCAGAAAAAAACGCAGTGAACGCTCGATTTCACGCACTAAACGTTTGTTGACTGTTTTAAATTATGTTTAAAAGTAACTTAAACACCCCTTTTGTAACACCACTAAGAAATTCAGTGGCTACTAACAAAAATAACATCTTACTAGCCACTAAAAAGACTATGAATAAGGCTGTAAATCGACCAATTTCTACGCCTTAAACCTTACTAAAAAAGTGATAAAAGAAAGGTTTGCAGCCGCAGACTTTCATCGCGAACCTGTAGCGACAGGTCATCTCGCACATACTGATTGTATAAGCCTTCGCCTCCGAGCTCAAAGGCTCATCGTCGAATCTGCAATTCCTTTGAGCCGGTCGCAGGTATTTAATGTCGCCCGAAGCTTGGGTTTCTATCACCCTGTAATTGATTTCCATGTCGGAGCCCTTGCCCAACGAGTGGTAGTGTTTACTAGACAGGTCCGGTATTTCCAGATGGGAATGGACGTAGTACTGGAAATTTTAAAAGAGTTTTAGGTCCGGTTTAACAGCTTATTCGATGAATAAATTTAACTGTCCGATAAAAATAGACGATTTTGTTTCACTAATAACAAATAGGGTTTATTCGACGATTAAATTGGGGTTTAATTTAACCGAAGAAAATTATTTGGACTGTTAAAGTTTTATTTGATATTTTCTCACCTCAAATGATTTTAATTTATTGGTTGTATTTTTAGTTTGTTTGAGAATAATGGATAACAGGTAAAAGATAATACAAATCTTATGTACTTTTTAAGTTATTTCAAAATTATTTATCTATTAGATTTGTAGCATCATCTTCAATATCATCTTCAACATCATCTGATGAAGATTTTCATTATAGAAAATTATATCAATTTTCATTCCTTTTCCTCTTTCAAGTCATTTTTGTTTCTTTCCCTTTTTCTATCCATTTCAAAATCACGTACTCTCAAACTCAAATTCCAAAATGTATATCCAAAAAAATAACCTGAACAATTCAGTTTGAAATCTTCTTTTTTAAAGGAAATATTTGAATTCTAAAGGTTGCTTTCCCAGGAATATTTGTTTAAACTGTTAAATATAGCTAACGAAAGATTAAACGTGTTGGTGAAACGACAAAATATTTAACTGGAGTTTAAAAGTTATTCATCGAATAACTATTTATAGATTTAATTAGACATTAGTGGAATTAAACTCGATTAAGAGTACCTTTAATGGTAGTTTCGGATTGGAATCGAATCTGGCATAGCAAAGTCCGTTTAAATAGTGGCATTTTAGCGGTGAATTGGACGTTTCGGTGTCGTTTCGGTCATCATCAGGTACTCTAAAATTAAAATTGCGGTATAATTTTAAATTGAATCTTATTATGATTAATAAGGCGTTACCTAATCGATAACAACTCGGAGAATTTCGAGAAAAACGTGAAACATACGCCCAATTCGATCAGGATTATCTCCCATTTGAATTCCCGTGATTTATCCACCGTTACAAGAGTACCGGTAACCTTCGGGTACACCTAAATTGCACTAATTATTATTAGTTTATCACTAAAATCTATACTAAAGTTCGTACGTTTTAAAATGGCAATGACGTCACAAGTTAGCCTGTTGCAACGTTGCCAGGTTGTAATTAAAATCCTTTACGCTCCAGAAACATTTATAACTATCTAGAATCATTTAGAACGCTCCAGAAACATTTATAACTATCCAGAATCATTTAGAACGCTCCAGAAAAGGAGAAAAATCGCTGGGAAAGTCACAAAAACAACATATTCCAATTAGAAATGCCGTCATTGTCATTTTAAAACGCACGACCTTTATTTACCTCCGATACTAATCCAACCATGTCCACATCGAACAAACTGGAATCGTTTTTAAACTTTTCCAGATCTTCGAAATTGTTGTAAGACGAATACGCTATAGCTCGCACGAATTCCACGTAAAACGGGTATTTAGAATCTGCAACGTCGCTTTTCCACTTCCTACAATCCGATAAATTATACGAAATAAATGATATTATTTAGTACGGTTTATATTTATAATAGTTACTCGTAAATGTACTTTTCGGCTTTCTTCTCGTCGACTTTATCGTTGAAACATCCAGTAACAGCAGGAAGGTGATTCTCCCAGTTTCTGTAGTCTTTTTGTATGGAAATAACCGTCGGATTAGCGGAGTATCGATTCCAATTGGATGTGGTAAGAGAAATGGCTCCGGCAGCCGATAAGGCTATTATAACAGTCCAGAAAAACCTGAAATACATCAGTTTACAATCGTAAATTAGGAGAAAAACGAGGAAATACCTCTCTGTCCAGTGTAAATTCGGCATACCGATGATATTGAATCCATGAATGGTGGTTTGTTGGCTGAATATCTTGAAATAATGCCAGATTTTGTTGCATGTTCGATACATCTTTTCGTACTGATATATGCTTTCTATTACATTCAATACTCTGATTGCTTTTAGGACATGATAAGAATCTAGCTGTGGGAAATAATTATAAACACAGTAATGTACCTTTTAGAGCTGCTTTTGTGTACCTAATGATGCATACAAAAACGACTGATGGATTTAGGGGCTCAATATAATTTATCATCAAATTCCTTTATCATCTGAAATATTTTTAACAGTGCCTACCAACCTACTATAAGAAATTAATAACAATTTTATATACAAACGATGAATTTTGACAATATGTATATTTTTTGGATGATTTAATACTGATTTTTAACATTTTCTATAATCCCTTGTTAGTAATAAATTAAACTCTGCAGGTATTAAGCTTAATCTATTTAGTGCATGTATTTTCAAAAGTTGGTCACAATGCTTGTCAGTTATAACAATGTGTAGTGACGTGCATTGATATTTGTTTTGCACCGACTATACAATAAAAGGATATTACAGGACATTGTAGGTATTTTTCAAAGTCAACGTTTATTAGAGTAATAAATAAAGAAATCTCATGACCCTTTATTTTCTAAAGTAAAATACAGATTTTTGCCTTAAGATAAAATCATTGTTAAAAATTCACGACATAAAATTTCCTAGTCTGTCCAATTACCAACTCCATCTTTTTCCATATAAATCATTATAAAGATCGATGTAAAAATAATAATAGTAAAAAAACGAGAAATTATAGGCCGATATAAAACAAATTCGATTGTCTCTAGTTTAGGAAACGTAAACGTAACATTTCCTTCTAATACAAACAAATTCTGCGGATTATACGATTCGTTATTCACGATATAATACTTGCAAATAAAATTGTACCGGGATTTGAGTTTTCTTGTAACTTTTTGACTAGGCTTAACTTAACTAGGCTAAAAAAACTGCCAGCCTGAAGACTCTTGCTTAATCAATTCAAATAATAATCTCCATTTAGCTGCCAAGTTGATAAATACACAGACATTGCACGAAATACAAAAACTAGTATACATTTAAAATCGGTATACAAGCTGTAGTATACTTATGTATCTTGAAAGAGCGAAGAAACAACGAACATTTTTAAACTGGCATTTTATACACAAAACGATCCATTATAGGTTGTTTAAAAAAAACCTCTCGTAATACCGTTTATACCTCAATCACGGTCGTATATTTTTAAGGACTGGAAACTGCAATTAATTTTGCGTTAGAAAAAGTGTCCCGTTAAATGAAGACTTTTTGTCTCTTTCTGAACTTATCTCAGCCAATCAGCGTCGCGCTACTTATAAATCGCGGTTGTGTGAAATGACAGTTCGAGCTGTCAAAACTTATTATTTGACATTTCGAGGAGAAAATGGAGGAAATACATAAACCGAAGATACGTGAGGCATTATGTTAACAACAAAATCATCGCTTATTTAAGTATATTTTGTATCTATTTTTAAATACAGTTGTCAGAGTGAAAAGTTGTAATCACACAAATCAGTCACTCTTTCTTTTTCCTTTATAAGAGTCTAATGGAAGTTGTCTTTATCGCACCTATATCTATAAACGGGACACTTTTTTGACCTGTTTCCATACCTTATACAAATATACAACCCTAACCTCAACTAACATCATGTATATCTAACCAGTTTAACAATCTTCCGAAGAATTTTAATCGAACAGGACTCGTCCCGTCCTAACCGAGAGAGGGAGGTGGTGGTTAAACGGGGAAATGATCGCAACGGAACCATTTTAGGGCGACAGTTCCTGGGCGTGCATGGGATCGTAACCGCAACTGCTCGCATCGTAGGCGGAACTCTGATCGTACGCCGAACCCATCGAATAGCCCATCGAGTCCTGCGGCGGCGCCGGCGACATCATCGGCGTCGCGGTGCCGCTGTACGGCGACGCTCCCGCCGCCTTTTTGGCCGCGTACAAATTCGCCTCCTCCTGCGCCTTGCCGATGTTCTTCTTGTAGCGGATGCGCTTGTTGCCGAACCAATTCGACACCTGCGATTTTATTCAAGCGATATTTAATTACTCAATGGAGGAGATGGATGTGAGATTTGTACTGTTTTTAATCAGATATACTCGAAGCGATTTACAGTTGATGAAAATATTCGGTATTTTAGGAAACGTTGCCATTTTGAATTTAAATTTTTTTGACAGGTGACGTATAAAGAGGCTAACCAATCACAAAAGCGAACGAGTTACATTGTATCATTAGTGGTGTAAGAATTCGAACGGAATGTTCGGAAGAATAGAAGAAATGAACAAAAGTAAAATGTAACATCAAATGACAGATGACATATCTAGGGTTATATTGTAATCTCTTTGTTTAAAGTTTCTTGGACCAAAAATAACCACTTTTTTAGAATACAATGAAGAATTAAAAGATCTATGTGTTTACCTGGCTAACTGTGATGCCGCACTTTCTGGCCAGCTCCTCCTTGGCCTCTTCGCTCGGATATGGGTTGGACAGGTGCGAATAAAAGTACTCGTTCAATATCTCCGAGGCCTGTTTGCTGAAATTGCGACGCTTCCGTCGCGCGTCGAGGAATCGCGATCTCAATATCATGACGGCCTCGCACGTCGATTGCTTCAGTTGCATCTGTATCGAGCTGAATTTCTTGTGGATGATTTGCACCATTCGTTCGATTTCCTTGGGCGTTATCGGTCTGGTGCGGCTCTGTTCTCTCAGCAGGTTCATAACGTGCGTCGTGAATTCGTTGCAGGCCTGTTCGTATTTCTCCAATTCCTAAAAAACAAAAAATTATGTACAGCGAATTCAAAGATTATCATAGTAGGCTGTTGTTCGAAAGAATATTAGCAGTGTACTGTGATCTAGGAAAAACTACCAAATGTCCAAACAAGAAACTGTCAATAAAATGACAGAATTTTAGCAGAAATAATCATAGTAGGCTATTGTTTGGAAGAATAATACGAGAAATGGCTTTACAACCAAATGTCAAAATAAGAAACTGTCAAATGTCAAAAAAAACCTATCTCGATGCAATGGAATTAGCATAGTTTTTTTTACCTGGTGGTATATTTGCCTAATTTGCGCCAATTTAGCCCTGTAGTCTGAGTGCTCGATGGCATTGTCCGGTTGTCCAGCTTGGGCCGCGGCCGAGCCGGAGGCGGCCGCTCCGGCGCCGCCTCCTTTCTCCGGTCCAGCAACACCTTCGGCTATCAGCATATTATCCAGACGCATCAATTGCGGATCTACAAACGACACAGAGAGTTTAGCCTGGAAGGAATTTCGTGGCTAGTAGTAAACGTAGTAGATACCTGGCGGTTCTTCCTCTTGGGTATTTCTGAGCGACAGCACGGTTTTCTCTTTGATCTCGCACAGAACGGAGAACAAAGCGGGCTTCATGCGGTGGCAGTTGAGCGTGTGCTTCCTGGCCTGGGCCTCGTCCAAACTTTGATCGGTTATGTTCATGATTTGCTGCAGTATCTCGCCGATGTCCTGTTTCCTGGGTTCGTTCTCGTTGCCGGCGGGCGCCTCGCCCTGGGCCGTCATGCCGTAGGGCTGCGGGGCCATCAGCCCGCCGCCCATCATCCTGCCGGGATCGTCCATCGCTCGAATTTTCACGGTTTTCACGAATCACCTGAGAACATAACCGATGAACGGGTAGAGAAAATGGCGGCGTTGTGACAATCCAGGTAAACAAAGCACAAAGAATTTTACGATGTTTTTACGACGAGTTATAGAATCGCGCAGGCGCGTCGCGCGTCAAACGAAACTTATAGATCTCTTATGGACTACCAATCGGATTTTATCCGATTAATTGGTGGTCTTTAACGTTGCTGGAATTCGGTGTTATTTTCGAACTGTCAACTAAACGTCAAAATGTACCTCAAAATCAAGTAAATTAAATTATCAAGTAAATATATTAGAATAGATGCCATAAGAAGTACAAAAATGTGGTTTATTTCACTCATTAGTTACGTAGCGATTGTGATACAAATAATTTTCGTAACAATAGCAATAGGTAAGTGTTTACTTATACGTACATAGAGATTAAAATTGTGTTAATTCATTGTACTTTACAGCGGCAGGACTGTATTATTTAGCAGAATTGGTGGAAGAATACACAACTATAGCGAAAAAGATCATTTGGTGGATGAATTTGGTAAGTACATACATACACTAAATTTCGAATCATTTCGTCAAATCTAAATCAATCTTGTTTGAAACGGTAGTTTGAAACAATATATTGAGTAAGTCGAAACATATATTTTATCGTATGATAATCAAAAGAATTTTTCTACTATAATGAATTAAACTTTATTAAAGACTATATCTACTACATAATTCCGTCGAATTCACGTTTTAGAATTCAACAAAGCCGTTCCCTTTGGTTTCAATTTTCTGCCGATGATCCCCTTCTTCCTATTCTCTTCGTCTTCGAGCAGTTTTTTGTGTCTATTTACTGCGAAATCGATTTCTCCCGTTAGCTTTACGATATCATCTCTAACGGACCGTTCCTTCGAAATTCGTTGTCTCTGCCTCGATCCGAACGGTGTCAGTCTCCCGTCTAAGAACGTGTAATCCGGAGTTTCGGACAAAACTCTCATTTTATTCGGATTTAAAGGTAACCCTCTCTCTTGCCTCCATTTTTGTATCAAATCAAGTCGACCGGTCGTCGTTATCGTTCTGATTGGAACGAAAATGCCTATGAGGAGACAACGTTTAGATCATAATTAATTAGTTGAAATAAACTTATTACCTGGTTGTAATTGTAATATCGTTTTTAATGATTGCATAGTTTAATTACTTTTATTTGTGTTTTATTGGAGGTTATGTACTTCTTTTTTTCTATCTGTCACTTGTCGTGCTGTCATGTGGTAACTTTGCGACAAAATAACGTATGGACAAAATAACAAAATTAATTAGACGAAATAAACTTATTACTTGGATGTAATTGTAATATCGTTTTTAATGATTGCATATTTTAATTACTTTTATTTGAGGCTATGTACTTCTTTTTTTTTCGATCTGTCATTTGTCGTTGCTGTCAAGTTGTAACTTAGAGATTGGTGCGACTAAATAACGTAACGGTTACTAAATAGAGGTGCGACGAATTAGACAACCAGTTTAACGCTAAATATTTTTATTTTCAGGTAACTTTAACGCTGTATATACTATTATGGACGTTCGAAAACTTCCCGATTTCGATGATAGGTTGCGGAGTAGCGGCTCAATTAATACATTTCGTGATATTAAGAAGTTTTCCATTCGTTTCGTTTCTATCGATAGAATTCGTAACGACCGTTCTGTTTATCATTATCAATCATTATTTAGCTTTTAGCTACTTCTCGTCGGTTTATTACAACTTTTCCGAGGTAAATTACGAATTTCTTTAAGGATTTAATATCGTAAATATGATTTTGTATTTGTAGGTAATAGCTTATTTCACGATATTCCTGTGGCTGGTGCCGTTCGCTTTGTTCGTATCTTTATCGGCGAACGATAACGTATTACCGACTAGCATAGACGGAAGAGGCGAGTTATTTCAATCTAAATTTATTTCAAATCGTTCTCTTCACAGTGAATTATTTTCCAGACACCGACGTGGTTTCGAATTACTTTTCGAAGAGGACCAAAAAACTCGGACTGCTGTCGTTCTTCAACTACGCCAAAGAATCTTTGCTGCCCGTCAGAACTAAAAAGGGATTTTGAATGGATTATTATGATATTAATAATTATACACGACTAATTTAACGTTACCTTCGTATCGAATCGTATCCGAATGTAGATTTTTAACGTGCCTATTCAAATCGCTCCGTTCGTAGAAGCTCTTATCGCATTCCAGGCACACGTGATGTTTCCCCGTACCGTGATTCCTAGCGATGTGTCTCTTCAAATTGCTCCCGTTGGTGTATCTCTTATCGCAAGCGGTGCAAGCGAAGGGATATTCGCCGTCGTGCAGCCTCCCGTGCACCTTCAGGCTGCCCATCGACGAGAAGGATTTCCCGCATATCGTGCACAACACGTTTCGTCTGTATCTCTTCGTATAGCTGGTCGTGTTGGTTTTGTATTTGCGCTTGGGAAAGTGCGACGTGATGATGTGCGTGTAGAGCGAGGGTTTCGTGTAGTACATTTTGCCGCAGTGCTGGCATTGGTAGTTTTTTTTATCGGAATGGCTGTCGACGTGTCTCGACAAATCGGTGTCTTGTCTGAAGGATTTGCCGCAGGTGGTGCAAACGAACGGTCGTTCTCCTAAAAAATAAGTTTTGTAATGATGTTTTGCGCCCCATTTCAATCCCTCCGGTATTGGACACTGGCGTAGTAAAAGGCCGCAAAAGAACGAAAAATGACATAACAATACGTCAACTTGAAAAATTTCCAAAATGGCGGACGATTAGCATTTTTAAATCGCGATTGCGAGCCGAAATGAATTTAGCAGAGGAAAATGATGGTCAATTTCGTAATCCGCGGATCCTTTTCCATCTTCCTATACAACTCTCTTACATTCAAGAAGTTAAGAACAACTTTTTAAACAAAAATGACTCTGAAGCCAAAACGGCTCATTTTTGACTAATGGTATATTTGCAAAAATTGTTCATCCCTATAACCTCCTTAGGTTTGGCACAACCTTTTTGGAACACCCTGTATACATATGATAGCGATTAGATTTAGTACCTGTGTGGATTCGTACGTGTCTATCAAGACGGGATTGCCTCGAGAAGGTCTTGCTGCAATACTGGCATACGAAAATTTTGATTTTTTTTTCCTTGTGGACCCTCAAATGGGTGCCGTACCCTTGCGGATTGACCAGCTTTTCGCAGTATTGGCATTTAATTTTGGCGGATTTGTTGGTATTCGTGATTCGATCGGCCTCGTCGGCGTCCAAATGCATTTTGATTTTGTGCTTTTTGAGGCCGCTTATGCTGGTGTAACGTTTGTTGCATATCGTGCATACGTACGGGGTGATACCTTTTGGAGAAATTAAGGTTAATAATTACGCTGTTTTAAATATCGTTTGGTGAATTACCTGTGTGGATTCGAGTGTGTGTCTTTAGGCTTCCGGGGATCGCGAAAGTTTTGTCGCAATACGAGCATTTGTACGGTTTATCTCCCGTGTGGGTTCTCATATGACGGGCTAAAGTGGTTGTGCATCTAAACGTTCGATTACATTCCGTGCAGCTGGTGTTTTTGACTTTTTTCACTTTCACTGCTACTAAAAAGATGATAAAAGACACTAAGAAATTTAGGGGCTACTAACAAAAATAACATCTTACTATCCACTAAATACAACTATGAATAAGGCTGAATGTGCCTTAATAATTTACATTATTTCCTACCTTTCGACTTATTATTCCCCTCATCATCAACTTTATGATCAGAGCTTTGGCCTAGACTCAACTCATCATTTCCAGCAGTTTCTGGATTGTTAATCTTTAATAATAAACCATCTTTGGAATCCGAGCTTTGCTCTAAACTCAACTCATCTATTCCAGCAGTTTCTGGATTATTAATCTTTAATAATAAATCATCTTTGGTATCCGAGCTTTGCTCTAAACTCGACTCATTTATTTCAGCAGTTCGTGATTTGTGAATCTTATTATTTACAGCAGTTCTTGAATTGGTAATCCTTAGCAATAGATCGTGCTTATACGTAGATATTCGAATGAATTGTTCTATATCTTCTAGAACCTTCACGCATACTTCGCAAATATTTCCTGGCATTTTGCGGTCGTTGTCGAGCTAAATAAGTAACACAATGAACAACGATTGTTATCATTAAACTTTATCTTTTACTATTACCTTTAGGTTGGTTATTCGCTCGAAAATGTCGATATATGTCGCTTCTAACGGCAATAAAACATTGGGTAGCAAACATATTCTGCATATCTTTGAAAAATCGTATGTTCTAACGATAACGATATTTTTTGGCGTTGGCGCTTCCATTGTTGTTCCGTTTTCGTTAAATGTTAAAATAAAAGTGAAAGAAAAGTTAGGTTAGTTTAATTATCCAATATGTCATATGTCGTTTTGATGGTCTTTTCCTATATTGGGTATTACGTTATATTCCTAGATAGGCAACCAAGATTACCGTTACCGAAAGTCGATTTCAGAAAGAAAGAATGTTATATCTTTTATAACTATTTTGTAATTGTTAAACTGTTTTATTAGGTTACTTAAACTATTCACGGATATAAGGAGCACTCCTACCTTATTTGAAGCATGGAAAACTAGAAATAATACATCCTGAAATTATCCTTCATGTGTACATAATTATGCGCTGCCATTGGTTTGTTTTAGGTGTTCTTTGACTTTTAGATAAGATGTAGCGGCGAACTTGATTGTCTCATAATACAAATTGCGAAAATTGTTCAAAAAATCGAACCCCAAGAAATTTGAATCTGGCAACACTGTTGGATCGTATACTGTAATTAGACGACAGTTTCGCCAATTTTGACATTGACACAAGTGACATTTGGCGTGTATTTAATTTCCATTATAAATATTTACTCGAATTTATTCATTTATTAGCGAAACAAACAAATTACTCGCTATTAAATATGTAAGTAGCCTTCGTTCAATGGCGACTGCGGATCATTCAAACCACGAAAATCATCACAATTTGAAAGAAATCGACTACAACGATATACAACAATTAAACGTGAGTTTTGCCCGTTTATTTACCATTCTATCAACTACAAATCGCCCTTAATAGATTTTAGGCGAAGGCAGCTTCGGCGCGGTGCCCAAAGGAATATGGAACGGCACTTTCGTGGCCGTGAAAAACATCACCAGAGAGGAGGAGGAGGAGAAGAAGGCCTTTCTCGTCGAAGTGCTCCAGCTATCCCGCATCGACCACGAGAACATCGTCAAATTGTAAGGGGCCTGCACCAGAGGATTGAACTTCTGCCTCGTAATGGAGTACGCCGAAGGCGGTTCTCTATTTAACCAGCTGCACCAAATGCTCGAAGGTATCTAACGATTCGTATAAATTTCTAAGGTCTGGAAATATAGATTGAAAAAGTGTCCCGTTATTTGAGGATAAAACAGGGTTTCTAGAATTGGCATTAAGAAAGGTTTTATTCAAACTAAAAATGGATAGTAAATATAAAAACGTACTTAAATAAGAGATGATTTTGTTGTAAACATCATGCCTCACGTATCTTCGGTTAATGTATTTCCTCCATTTTCTCCTCGAAATGTCAAATAATAATTTTTCAAGTTTTGACAGCTCGAACTGTCGTTTTACACAACCGCGATTTATATGTAGCGCGACGCTGATTGGCTGAGAAAAGTTGGCAGTTTCCAGACCCTAGAAATACAAGACCGTAGTATAAAATAATTGCAAATATAACGCTGTGATTGTAGGGTGTGAAATATTTGCACGCGATGCAACCGAAGCCTTTGATACACAGGGACCTGAAGCCTCCGAATTTGCTGCTGATAAACGGCGGAGTTAATTTGAAGATATGCGATTTCGGTACTGCTGCTGATAAAAACATTTACATGACTAACAACAAAGGATCTGCGGCATGGATGGCACCCGAAGTACGATTATTGATCGATTTAAGAAGGTTGTTTCGTTATTATTTATTATTCTAGGCGTTTAATTCGTCGATTTATACGGAAAAATGCGACGTCTTCAGCTGGGGATCATCCTGTGGGAGGTGCTATCGAGAAAGAAGCCTTTTTACAACAGAGGGAGCAGCGCTTTTAGCATAATGTGGTCAGTGCACATGGGTAAAAGGCCGCCTTTATTGAAAAACTGTCCACAACCCATCGAGAATCTAATGACGGCTTGTTGGGACAAAGATCCCACCAAACGACCCACCACCGAAGAGGTCAGTATCGCTTAACAATCGATTAAATCATTTAACCATCTATTAAATCAACCCGTTACAATCGTAGATTGTTCGCAAAATGGAATCGATCTGTTCGCTTCTACCCGGCTCCGATAAACCCATCCAACGGTGCGACGAGACCGATGGAATCCAAGAGGAAGAAATCGATGGTGATGATGATGATGAAGAAGATGAGGAAATCGGAGACATCTTCGTCAATTCGAACACCAACGGTGACAACGTTGTGAAGACTCTACAGCAACCCACCAGGCAATTTTTGAATCCGTTGTCCATCGAATGCGATCCCGTAATTATCCATATAAAAATCTACTTGCTGTAGAATAGAGTAGAATGTTGTAGGACAAAGTAGAGATTGAATAGAATAGAGAAAGGAGAGTAGACTGGTCGATGAAAGGAGAAGTAGAGAGTACAGATGGGATAGCAGACTGGTGAATAGGAGGAAAAGTAGAGTAGAATAGTAGGGAAAGAAGAGCAGACTAGTGAATGGTTGAAGTACAGTAGTAGAGAAAGGGGAGTAGTCGATAGGAGGAGAAGTAGAGTAGAATAGTAGGGAAAGAAGAGCAGACTAATGAATAGGAGAAGTAGAATAGAGAAAGGAAAGCAGACTAGTGGGTAAAAGAAGATGTAGAATAGTACAGATAGGATAGCAGACTGGTGAATAGGAGGAAAAGTAGAGTAGAATAGTAGGGAAAGGAGAGCAAACTAGTAAATGGTTGAAATAGAGTAGTAGAGAAAGGAGAACAGTCGATAGGAGGAGAAGTAGAGTAGAATAGTGGGGAAAGGAGAACAGAGTAGTAAATAGGAGAGGTATAGTAGTAGAGAAAGGAGAGCAGTGGATAGGAGGAGAAGTAGAGTTGTAGTAGATAAAGAAGAGTCAACTAGTGGGTAAAAAGAGAAGTAGAGTAAGGAAAGGAAAGCAGTGAATAGGAGGAGTAGTGTAGTAGAGTAAGGAGAGCAGAGTAGTGGGTCAAAGGAGAAATAGAGTAGTAGAGACAGGAGAGCAGATTAATTGAGGAGTAGACTAGTAGAGTAAATAAGAGCGGATTGGAAAAGATTAGAGTGGGCTAGGGGTGTTTAATAGAGCGATTAGAGTAATATAAAGTGAAATAGAGTAGATTAGATACGTTTTTGAGTCGTTTATTCACTGACTTCAAACCTTTACTAGCATATTAATGGAGATATTAACGTTTTTTTTTTTTGTATTTTAGAAAGCTTGGGACTTGGATCAAAGCTACGATATCCATAAGATGGCGGGTTTCGATAAAGCGGTGCCCAGAAACGGTGAGTTTGATTTTTCATCGAGAACTGAGAGAGGAAAAGCGGAAAATCCCGATTACATTTCGCAAATCGTACAGGAATTGGATATATTTTAAAGATTGTAGAACCGAAAACGGTGAGAGTTCATTATCTATTTAATTCTCTTTGAATAAACGGTGCAAATGATGTGTAAATTGACGTCTATTACCCTAGCATAACCATTTCATAAGCCGGCGTCCAAAACTACACAGTATTTTGTTGCTAATTTGTTGCTAATTTGTGCCGCAAGAATCGATTTTGTTGCTCAAATAGTTCTTTCAAAAAAGCGGTTATGCTAGCGTAATATTACGCTAGCGAAACATAGCGATATCTAACAGTGCAATGAAGCTACCGATACAAGACAAACGTTATATTTTGTTGCTATTTTGTTGCTGAGGGATAGCGGAGTTAGATTTATCAAAATATCATCCCTTCGCGGGGGAGTAACTACCCCGACGAGGCAATAATTCCTGGATGGAATACGACGATTTGAAAGACAAATCCACATTCGTTAATTAAAATAAAAATATTGTACATCGTCTAATTATGTACAATAAAGAACAATAGAAGAATAATTTTATTAATAATATTCTTTTAGAATAATAATCTTTTACTGTTCTTCGTATTGTTTCGAATCATATTGTTTATTCTTTCTATTCTTCAATAAAAGAATAATATTGCTGAATATTTTACATTCAAGTAGGTACCTATATTTGACTAAAATATAAGTTACATATTTAACTTGATACTCTTTGAGTTTCAAAAGATCAAAACACAGAGATTATTAATTAATTAAATTAGTCGCTAAATCTTTTTCGAGATATGTATTTAATGTCGTTTTTCCTTGATCGGGGGAGCTTAACCCCCGCGAAGGGTTGCTATTTTGATAAATCTAACTCCGCTATCCCTCAGCAACAAAATAGCAACAAAATATGCCGTTTGTCTCATATCCCTAGCTGTTTTGGTTCTCGAGATAGGTAAAATCACGTTTTTTCGGGGATCGGGGTAGTTACTCCCCCGCTAAGGGATGATATTTTGATAAATCTAATTCCGCTATCCCTCAGCAACAAAATAGCAACAAAATATACCGTTTGTCTTGTATCGGTAGCTTCATTGCACTGTTAGATATCGCTATGTTTCGCTAGCGTAATATTACGCTAGCATAACCGCTTTTTTGAAAGAACTATTTGAGCAACAAAATCGATTCTTGCGGCACAAATTAGCAACAAATTAGCAACAAAATACTGTGTAGTTTTGGACGCCGGCTTATGAAATGGTTATGCTAGGGTAATAGACGTTGTAAATTGCGAAGTTTATTTGTTGTTGCGATAAGTAAAAGGCCATTGTGGGGTACTCGTTAGTTTTTTTAAGTTATTTACGAGTTAACGAGTGTTGTAGTTTGGTTGTAGATGAGAAAATCCATCGGCTACAAGTTGAAATTGGAAATGAATTGGCGTTTGATAAATATTAGTGTGTTAAATTTGGTCGCTTGCCAAGCGAGTTCCCTCGCTCGATTTTACCTGTTTTTTTCTAAAGCACTTTAAACGGCGAGATAATTAAACTCGAAGGTTATCCTTTGGATAACTTTGGAGAAAAACAAAGCGATATCTTTGGCTCTCTTCTTTTCGGAAAGGAAAACAACAAATAAACCTTGAACAAAGTTATTTTTTGGCTAAGTTTGAAGGTCGGTTCGCTTTAACTTTAACCCAGTTTTTCGCTCGAACAGGAAGTTTTCTTTCGGGAGTTTTATTTCGGAAAAGCTCGCAAGAAATAACAAAAATATTATTATTTTTAAAAGTTATATAAATATTTATCGTCTAAGAGTGCAACAAAAACTTACTAACTTCCCTTAATCTCACATAAGAGAAAAATGGTTGATAATCTTGCGTTGATTGCACCCTTCTTACTCTAACCCACTATTATTTCAATGATCTTTCTTTGTTCAACTCACTTAGTAACTTTAACGATTGTTTACAGGCGTTGCTGACACTTTGCAGAGTACCGAAGAGAGTCGAAACGTCGATCAGGACATTAGCAATATGAAAATACTTTTGGACACTTTAGATCCCCATTTGAGACCGGTCACGCCCGATTACAACGATCCCAATTCGGTGGCTTTGATGGAGGAACACGTCGAATTAGCCAAGGAATACTGGAAGGTGAATTTTATCAACATTTTTCCTCTTCTTCTCGTCTCCTTTTACCATCCTCTCCTAGACGTACGTCCTTCCTTGCTCAATCTAATATTATCCGATATCTTCCCACACTTCAAGTCATTTTATTAACTACTGATTGTATATGTACGGGAGATTCCTAGGAATGGTATTAAAAGTAGCATTTTTGTTAATGTGCAGGTTCAAACGGAGCTGGTGTTGATGACCCAGAAGAAAAACAAACTGTTACCTTTGAAGGAAGAGTGCGAGAAAAGCAAGAGGCACTTGAAGGAGTTAAAGGAGGAAGGGAAATCGTTGGAGTTAAAAGAGCAAAGGCAAATGTCGGCGGGACATCATCAGAGGAATTCATCGAGGAATCCGAGAGTATTCTTTCATTAGGCGTATTATTGTTACTAAGTAATTAAGACCTTTTGTGATATATTTTGTAATATCTTATTTATGATATGATTAATAAGATAATTTATTTTTACTGCGATTTTGTTATCGTATAGAATTGAAAGAAAGTTTGTTAAAAATTGACGTAAAAGATGTGTTATTTTTGATGATATTGAAAGAATTAATATAACTTCGTCAAGGAAATAACGTATTTTTACGAAATCTGAAATTGGCGTCGAAAAATTGGCGATCGGATACTTTGAATTTCTGGTTGTCTAACTAGTAGGGTACATAAATTAATACCTAGTTCGAGAAAAATGTAATAGATGGCGCCAAAACTTTTTGCAAGCACAGAACATACATAAACAAGAAGGGACATCTCCGTGAGAATTTCGTAGACGTTGTAGAGCGCACTCTGAGAGTAGTAGCTGTACTAAATTAATGGGTGTTGCCTAGTAAAAGGGGATATCATGTAGAACTCTACACTAAAATTAGTAATATAGGTTTTTTATTCGATTTTTTCTGACTTTTAATATTATCCAATTTCTTGTAGAACTTGTACAATTTGTTACATTATTATAAAATGTATAGAATTTTGATATAGATAGTAAAATAAATTGTACAAGTTTTACAAGAAATTGGATAATATAAAAAGTAACTACTCTCATAAAATAAGTAAACACAAACACTTCTACTTAAAAATATATTGAAAAAAATGTCAAAATTCATTAAATTTAAATAAAATCGCTAAATAAACAAATATTATGGCGGAACCAGAAAAATTCACTACGCGCTGTAAAAACAAGCAATAGAACGAAAGATTTAACTTTAACTTTACACAATTCCTCACTAACAATTCACTAACACTACTATACACAAAACTTATACAATTTACAGGCAATAACAATGCCTTTTAAACTCACTCGAAAACAAACGAAATAAATGAAAAAAAAATAACTTTTCGGTTTTAACTTCATCTTGCACTACAAGAGAAAATATGCAGAATCGATGCGAATCAATACAAGACGCCATTATTGTTTTTGAAATACGGCGTTGAGCGGGTTGCTTGCGCTGACCTGAAATAAACTACTGTTGCGCCATCTATCAATAGCGCCGAAACTAAATGAAAGTCTAAAATTTCTCATAAGGCTGTCTAGGCCCTGTTTGCAAGACATCGCGCACATTAGCGTATGCTTAGGTTACTTAAGAAAGTATAGCTATCGGGGTGGTAACGGTGGGGGAGGCTTGGGACCGCAAATACAACTTTCCAACAAGGTTGCCAGGTCTAGTGAAATTTCACTAGTTCTAGTGATTTTTGAAGCAATTTAGTGATATAGTGAAAACTTTCATAAAACATGCATATTCTAGTAATTTTTTATGATTTTTTGATTTTTTATCAATTTATAATATAAATAATGACGAACTCAATTTTTTTACTAAACTTCTAAGTCAAAGTAACACAAAACCTTACGCCGCCGACGGCGCCGAATAAAGACTCAATTCAACCACTTTGATTCGATTTACCGGCCAGTGGCGTATATTTTTCTTTAATTTAAATAAAAGCATCTTTGCTATCTTATGGCAAAGCCACTGGCAGGCGACGGGCGGTCGGCGGTTATAACCAGACAAAAAAAATTAACGGCGTCACGAGGCGGCGTTTTTTTTGTCTACAATAAGGCGGATTTTTTTTTTGAATTTACACATTAGAAATTTTAATTAATATTTTTAAAACAAAGGCGGTTTCGCCGATTGTAATGTTTTGTTTGTTTTCGTATTTTTTGAGCTCATCTTTGGCCGCTGTCGGCACTCATTTAAATAGCTAAAATTAATAATTTTTCGGGGGTTACCCAATTTCCAAACCCACCTCTTAATAGATTGACAGTATGCATACAAAGGAGAAAAAAAAAGAAAACAGAAGAAAAAAGAAGAAAAAAGAGAGAGAAAAAAGATCTAGTGATTTTTTACTCGATCTGGCAACTTTTGGAACAAATTTCTAGTGATTTGTCATTTTTCGACCTGGCAACATTGCTTTCCAATTTCACACTTCTACCATTTTCTACCATTCATTTATGAAGATGAGATGAGTTTCATCAAGAATTACTATCGTGTTTTTTTTATTTATAAAAGAGCAACATACCCCTACCGTGGCAAAGGAGGTACTGAGCGCTCCGGCCGCCGACATGTCTATTTAATAAATTTGTAAACGCACGTGGCGCCATCTAATAATTTACCGACGAACTAATATTAAACCGATTGTAGGAAACTGTTTGGAACCGTTCTTCTTCTTCGGATTTTGGCCTCAGCTACGGTGGCTATTCGGCCACTCTGGTTTCAAACATCTTGACACCATTCTTTTTCTTCAACAGATAGAAATTTTTTATAAAATTTAAATACTATAGTAATCATTCGTTTCACGATCTTGGGTCTTGAACAGAAAAATAAAAAACATCCATTTACATTCAATGCTATTTTATTATTTTACATTATCAGTCGATACATTCAATAATATCAGCATACAAAGTTGACACACGCTTCTCTGAACAATGTTTTTTTTTTCGCTTGGTATTTAAGGACACTCTATATTAAACTATAAGCTAAATGAAGAAGCCGATATGAATTTTAATGAGTGAGTTACGAATGATATGAAAATGAGCGATATGTTGGTAAACGTTCGAAAACTATTAATAATTTTTTTTATAAATGGAATCTATAAAAATAGTAAATTTTACATTAATTACACAATTGAATTTTCTGCATCTAAAAACACGTTGGCTACATTATTACAATACATTGCAGGTCAGAAATGATATCTTACGATTTTTAATTACATTTATAGCTCAAACAATGGCAGAATGACGAGGGTTTCCCCTAAAGAATAATGAATTTTGACGAGCAGTGTACTGACAATTACGTTAGGTGTAAACAACTGTTAACAATATTTAATTTGTGCAAAAATGCTGTTACGCTCTGCGCCATAAATTTACAATGAAATTTGTAGAATTCTACAGGGTGGCCCGTAAGTAATGGCCCAAACTGAAATGAAAGATTCTTAATATTTTGAGTTCGAGAATCTTCCATTCTAGTTTGGTCCATTACTTAAGAACCACCCTGTATAAATGGCACAGAGACACAATTATTACATTTAATACTAAAGCTATTTATTGCTACCTATCTAATTTCGCGTTAAAAATGAACGTCCTCAAAAACCAAATCCATCAAACGACAAAAATTATACTGAGCAAATACAATGCGATTTCAATTTAATAATAATAATAAAAAAAAGATGCCTACTACCGAAAGTATTGTTAATATTATCTATCACTCAATATATTATAATCGGTAAATAAACAATTAACGTCAAACATAAAAGGCAAGAAGCACCAATTGATCTTAAAAAGTGAGTCGACGATATCGTTGTTGTTACAGTTAAAAAAAGGACAGCGGATAAATCACTGTAGATAAGTAGCCAAAGCAAGTTACTTAATTAAGTAACTAAATTTAATTACATGATTTAGTAACAAACTTCCAAACGGAACAGTTATTTTTATCAATGCCCACCTCTACCCCTATACAAACCTCCCTATCTAACTGACATTTAACGACGTTATTAGAGGTGTGCGTTTCGAAAATAACAGTTATTTTATCACAACTTCGCTCTTGTAATGCTAATTAAGGCGTTTTAATGTAACTAAATTTAGTTACTTGTAGTAACTTGCTTTAGCTATTTGACAGGTGTATTTGCGCCTTTAATACAAATTCGTGTTCGTTTAATATTAAGTAAATTGGCCTTAACGAGACTCACTTTTTAATACAAACTCGTAACGTCGACGGTATAAATAAATAATTTACAAAACTCGATTAAAAAAAAATTCCAATAGAAACAGTAACGTTTTCAAATAAAAAAAAAAATAAATTTTTACAAGTCTACATCTGGTGCGATAAACACAAAAACGTCTGTGTGTTAATTATTATTCTTACGTCTGATTTTTTCCTTAGCAAATTACTATTACTATACATTTATATATAATATATACTTTACAGTACAGCTCAATAATAGATTTTTTTTAAATATATGCATTCTATATACAAAATAACTGCTAAAATAATGTACAGAGTCGATTAAAAAAAAAACAACGAACGATATCGTGAATATTTTCTGAATAACCTTCTGAATTATATCCAGACATTTTGAGATTTCGTTAGTTAGAAATAGAGAGAAATTCAAGATGGCGTTCGATGGGATTTAGAGCTCTGTATAACTTCATCACTAAACAACAGCAAAGTTCCATAAAATCGGGAACCGAATATATTTTGTGCTAAAGCCGACAAATTGCCTCAAAAAAATAACGTACCGGGGGAGGAAAAAAAATTCTTTTATACTGTTCGATTTTTCGCTCCACCGCATAAACACTTTTACATTTTATTCCGCATTAAGCAACACATTATAAACATATGACTAAGAAATATTTTGTTCTAGTATCATTTGTTCGATAAATTAGAGAAAAATAAGAGGTTTTTTTTATTAACATGACTTAACGTTTATCTAAAAAAATTAATTGTATCATTCAATTACCTACTATGTTTATAAAAATATATAAATTTACAATAAAATTAAAAAAAAACATATATTGCAACGAAAATAGGTAGGTTTCGTGATTTAATAAAAAAAAATTGATGCGAAATACATAATACAGGGTGTCTCATAAGTTGATACTTTAGTTTTAACTGCGTATTGAATTTTTAATTCTAAGCAAGTTTTTTTTTTCAATTTTTAATTATTAAAAAGTTAGTTAATACGGTCCTGTTCATTAAAAGTTAAAGGAACTGCTCAAAAATGTCGCCATTTTGATTGATTGTCATTAATTATTTATTATTTAAATTTTGACACCTGTATTGGTAAAATCTTTTTTATTTTCCAGAATATTAAAAAAAATGTACATGAAAAAGTTACTTAGAATTAAAAAATCTACACGCAGTTAAAAAAGTATTAACATATGAGACACCCTGTATAATCAAGATTTTTTTATATAGGAATACGCCGAACCGTCGAAATACAGGGTGTCCCAATGAGAAGTAGCACCATTAATATAATAATAAGCTTATAATTTTTAAATGCCTAATTATAAAAATATGCGATTTTCCCAAATATGTTTTATTTTATTAGAAGTTTTGTTACTGTGATACAGAAATTATGCATTTACCATTACAGAGTGTTTTATAAAATCTCCTCTTTTGAATTCACAGTAACCATTTTTTTTTAAATGGAACACCCCGTATATGTAGAGATATTTTGAAAGATATACTCTTCTACTTTTTAAAAATGCGTTATTTGTACATGTTATTGTACAAAAGTAGATGTCCTATTGCATGGAATTTGGTTAATGTGAATTTAAAAGAGAGGATTTTCATTACACTTTGTACAGGCAATAAAAAATTGTTTGTGTCACTGTAACAAAACTTCTAATAAAATAAAACATATTTGAGAAAACCGCATGTTTTTATGATTAGGCGTTTAAAAATTCTAATTAAATGAACTACTTTTCATTGGGACACCCTGTATAATTTACAAACCGTTAAAATAATTCGGAAACCAAACGATCGAAAAAATAAAATAAAAATAATAATAATCTTTAAGTCGCTTTTCTTAATTAAGTATCATATACCGAATATTCGATATACGAAGTTGGCACGAAACCCTCCTCCAAATCACCCAAAATCCTTCTCACTCTCGTCCATCCATCTCCTTGATCTAATTCGATCAAATGTAATTCCTCGTCTTGCGCCATCGGTATGCTCCCTTCGCTCGTTGCTGAAATTAAATATACAAAATACGTTAAAAAAATCAACAATTTTCTTTTTCTTATACAGTGAGTACCAAAAGTCCGTCGCCACCCCTTTAACTTTTGAATGGTAAGAGCTTTTGTCGCGAAATTTGGGATGATTATAGTGGAGTAAAAATACTATTTTTTGACCTAAAAATGACAGTTGAAACTTTCAAAATGACAGTTAGGCGCCATTTTGAATCTAAACACCCCAAATTTCGCGACAAAAGCTCTTACCATTCAAAAGTTAAATGGGGGAGGGGGCGAGGGACTCTTGGTCCTCACTGTATACCATTTTCCGTTGTATTTCAGAAAGCGTCAATTGAAGGGTACAGGGGATTAACGACAATAGTCCATCCAAAAGATTTTCGAAAAAAACTAAAATATAGTGAGTTTACTTATTCGTTAGAAAGTGAAATTAAAAGGTATCTTTTATTATATTATGGTCGAGATAAACACACTGTTGAGACCTTTTTATCTTGAAACTTTTATTTTAAGTACAAAAGAGTACATTTCCATTAACGACTTAAAAACGAACGAACATAAAACAACTTGTCATTTACAGAACTAAAGAAAACGTCAACTGTCAAATATGTCAACGTTTGACTGTATTCAACACTGAATGCGGGCCCAGAATTACAATATAATATCTTTTAGTGAGCTTAGTTTTGCAAAAAAAAACAATGGACTATTGTCGTTTTTTCCCTGTAGCCTTCAATTGTATTTAAGAATGTATCATTTGTGTTTCGGAAAGTGTCAAAAGGATTTCGGAAAGTCCCATTTGAAATGCAGAAATCATATGACAATTATTAACGAAGAAGAAAAACTCAATACATTCCACAATTGATATTATTTTTTTCGGACTTGAAACAACTTTTCTCCGGAATTGAAATAGTCCTGGTCGGTTATTTTGAAACTATACTGTAAGCGCTTTTATCGTTGATTTGGTTTTTTAATTACTATGTTTAAATGCAGAGTTGAATGATTGAATCGAGATCGAATTCAAGTATAGTTGAAGTATCGCTTTCGTCTCTTCGTGCTCCCACACATTTCTTTTTGCCATATTTTTTGCAACAAATAACGATAAAACACAAAAGAACTAAACGTCAACACAAAATAATCTAAACAAACAAAATGCAACCGCAAATAAATCTCAGATGTCAACTCAACTAATCAACCAGCGTTTATAGGACATCATTTCGACTCAACCCAGCCAGGAAATGCAGTCAACCCACTTTCAACTCGATCCGAGTTTACAGTTCGGGTTAAACCTAGGTTCAACTCTGCATGTAAACACATACAAAATGTCGAAAAATAGTAGAAAAATAAATTTGTAACTATACTGTAGTACCTTCGAAAGCGTACAGAGCCTTGCAAGTACCTATCGATGGCTGGACATCGGCCTCGTAATATTCGCTCTCGCCGTGCCCGTCGTAATGGTCCTGATCCCGGTCCTGATCGTGGTCCTGATCCGGATCTGAATCGGCTCCCGGCAGTGACGTGTGCGAGGTACCCAAACCACTTTCGGGACTATTGGAACAACTAAGTCAACATAAAAACCATCGAAAATCCGGATGTCGAAAGCGAAAAGAAAAAATAAACGGACTCGGGAGAGGTTTTCTTTTAATGTCGCGTCCGTATTTTTGTTTTTCTATTCGTCGTTTTCGCGTCCGAATTTTTGAATTATTAACGGGGGTGTATACGGGGCGTTTTGATTAAAAGAATCGAGCGAAATAATACGCGGTTATTCAAGACGCCCTGTATAAATCACAAACCATACATACTATAGACGTTGCACGCAAATGGTCAATGTCAAGACAGCAAATTACTTGCCTTTTCAATCGAGAGATGTCGCCATTAGCTAATTTTCTTGTCACTTGACAATTCGTCTTCTTTCTCTTCTTTACTGTCATTAGCAACTAAAAGGCTATTCGGCCAAGGTATTTGACAAGCGTCAATTATTACATTTGAAATTTGAAGTATTAAAAAAGTATAATTATACCAAACATTTATATAAGTAAAGATTTAGATAAGTAAAGCAACTACACGGACTTTATATTGTACAATTGGTGCAAATTTGTAAATACTACAATTCAGGGAAAAATGGCGAGGCCTTATTCTGGCATTAATGCAGTTAAAAAGGAATCATATGAGAAAGAAAAAGTATAAAAACACCAAAAGATACTGTTTGAAAACCAAAAGATTCTGTGTAGGTGTATCGTTTTGTACTTATTTAAGTATTTATATTTCCCGCCTAATTATAATTTGTCAATTTAGTTGCCTTTCCAATCAAGAGATGGCGCTATTTCGATCCGAAAGATTAACATGTATAAAAAAAATACGTGTAACGTCTATAGTATGTATGGTTTGTGATACGCATTAATCAGTTCAATTTATTGGTAACGAGCGATAAACAGAATTATCGATTAGACCAAACCTAATACAGCGCTAATTCGATGATAATTCGTCCGATAAAGAATCCCACAGACCAACGCGAAACTTTTCCGCCGCGAAACTTTCGCTACTTTTTCGCTACTATCGCGAAATTACCGCTACTGCTCCGAATATGTTCCATAAGCCGCCGTGTCTAAGGTTCCGCCGCGAAATCGCCCCCGCAGCGGCTGCGAAAGTTTCGCTTTGATCTGTGGGATCCTTTCTAATCAGTTCAATTACTGAATAAACAGAATTGTTGATTAGAACGAACCTAATACAACGCTAATTCGATGATAATTCGTCCGATAAAGAATCCCACAGACCAACGCGAAACTTTTCCGCCGCGAAACTTTCGCTACTTTTTCGCTGCTATCGCGAAATTACCGCTGCCGGTCCGAATATGTACCATAAGCCGCCGTGTTTAAGGTTCCGCCGCGAAATCGCCGCCGCAGCGGCAGCGAAAGTTTCGCTTTGGTCTCTGGGATCCTTTAATCAGTTCAATGACTGAATAAACATAATTGTCGATTAGAACAAACCTTATACAGCGCTAATTCGATGATAATTCGTCCGATAAAGAATCCCACAGACCAACGCGAAACTTTTCCGCCGCGAAACTTTCGCTACTATCGCGAAATTACCGCTGCCGGTCCGAATATGTTCCATAAGCCGCCGTGTTTAAGATTCCGCCGCGAAATTGCCGCCGCAGCGGCAGCGAAAGTTTCGCTTTGGTCTGTGGGATCCTTTCTAATCAGTTTAATTACTGAATAAACAGAATTGTCGATTAGAACAAACCTAATAAAACGCTAATTCGACGATAATTCTATCGATAAAACCGTCAAACCTACCCGTGATTGTTCATCTGCGGTGTACCGGGCGCGCTCGGCTTTCCGTTGTTGTGATTGTGATTGTGATGATTGTGGTGATTGTGGTGATTGTTCCGATTGACCGAACTGTCGCTGGCCGAACGGCTGAGCGATTCGTCGTCGGCGACGCTCCCGCCGGAATGTCGGCGTCGCGACGCCGCTTCGACGCCGTTCGACCGACCGATCGGCGAATTCGTCAGCGAATCGTTCTGACGAGTCGATTGGACGGATCGCATCGCTTCGTCCAAATAGGACCGATATCGGCCGTACTCCTGTTGCAACTTGTCCAATCGATGGCTGCATTCGTTCAATTGACCTAAAACAAAGAGGATCCTATTTAATTAACTACTATTATCGATGCTATTGTACTGTTTAAACTTTAGTAATGCTAGGTGTCCATTTTGAGAGAAAAACTGTCGAGAGAGGCTATCGAGAGTGGTTCTCGCCAGTGGACAATGTTTTGAGAGATTTTGGTACTATCGAGAGTAACTAGAAAAATTCAAATGAAATCAGGTATTCTGAGAGTGCTCTCCGAGAGTAAAGCTGCATAAATAAATAGTGAAAGACCAGCCACATCCCGATTGCTCCATTTTTCAATGCAACATAGGCCATGGGTTCGATAAAGACACTTAGACACCATTAGACACTTACAAAGGAAAAGGAAAGAATGACATTTATGTCATTGCAACTTTTCACTTTGACAACTGTCATTTTAGCAATCTTTCTTTGTTCAACTCATAGAAACGACCATGTTGCAATCGCAAATGAAGCACAGTGTATATCTATCGTTTATTTAATTACCCCAGTTCCTTTGCTATTCTTGAAGGATATTCAAATATGCATATTCGTTAAAAATTACAAGGTTATAAAATTAAAAATAAAAAGGAGGTTTTTTTTATATTGGTATATTGGAAAAGTTGTACAGAATATCTTTGTTTGATTTACCTAATTTTGAATCGAAACTAGATTTATCGGCTTATTTTTCATAATTTTAGACTTTGTAATTTTCTGTAAACCCCACATTTTTGGAAACAAATCTCAATTTTTTGGCATTTAGAAAATGTTTCAATCGCTAAAGTTTGGAACATTTTTAGTCAGTTATTGATAATAAAAATAATTTCATTAATTTATAAAAACTGTTAACTTATGATTAGTAAATAGATTTTTGATCAACTTAATCTGTTAAAAAGGTGCTAGGTAAAAAATGCGCTTAAAAATGTTCCAAACTGTACTTTACAAAACTCTCAGCAAAAACCTAGTGGACACAGTTCTGATAGTACTAATTTTATAAAACTCACAACTAGCATTTTGGATACTATCAGAGAGTAAAAATTCGCGAGTTTTCTCTAAAATAGACAAAGATCTGAAAGTAACTCTCAGGAAAACTCTCAAATAGACAGGTAGCATAATGCCTGCTACAGACTCACAAGAAACACATTTTTTTCAGCTGTCCGATAAGTTTTGTACCAAAATGCACGATTCTTTCTAAATTACTCTAGACAGTTTCTGGATTTTGGAGCGTTTTTAATGATTCTAAAACGATCTAAATGGTTCTAGACAGTTTTAAAGGACTCTTGAGCATTCTAGATAATTCTAGAACGTTCTAAATAATTCTGGAGTGTTCTAAATGGTCCTGAAACCTTCTAAATGGTTCTGAATGATTACGTTCTAAATGATTGTTGAGCGTTCTAAATGGTTCTAGAGAGTTCTAAAAGGTTATGAAGCGTTCTAAATAACCATGGACTATTCTAAATGGTTTTAAAGCTATCTAAATGGCTCTGTAGTGTTCTAAATAGTTCTGAAACATTTTAAAATGTTATTGGAGCGTTCTAAATGGTTCTAGAGAGTTCTAAATGACTCTGAAGCGTTCTAAATGATTGTGGATTGTTCTAAAGGGTTCTGAAACATTCTAAATGATTGGAGAGGGTTCTAAATGGTTCTGAAACATTCTAAATGATTGTGGATTGTTCTAAATGGTACTGAAGCATTCTAAATGATTGTGGAGTATCCCAAATGGTTTTAGACAGTTCTAGAATGGTTCTGAAGCATTCTAAATGGTTCTAAATGGCTCTAATATACTTACTCTCAACGGTCCTTGGATCCCCGAGGGCCGGATTGGCCTCGTAGACGCCCTTCATTTTCATGAGGCCGTCGCGCGTCGCCGTCTCTTGAGCGACTTTATTGCGGAGCTCTTCGACTTTGAGCGTCAGCTTTTTCCGCCGCTGGTTCGGCGGCAATTCGCTCAAGTTCTCCTTGCCATCGGAAATGGCGGCGTTCTAAAAGAAACGATTTTTTTTTATTCTTCTACGGCGTTGATTTTTTGGTTTTTTTTTCATGTCTAATTTTGGAAAATGAAAATTTTTTACACTGAAAAAGCTCGTTTCGTAAAAGGTAAAAAAAAGGAATATAAATGTAGCGGTTTTTGGTTTATTTTTGTAGAGATGTAATGTAATAATTTTATGCTACTGTTTTTTTATAAAGCACATACCTTTATCGCCATACAGACTTCAGAAAGCTTCTGTATGCATGAAAAAAAAATAAAAAGCAATTTAGCCTTGAGGTGATAGAAAAAACAAAAGGAAATTTATCTATTTAGATGAAAGAATTGCAAAAATGTGTTTAATCAATCGAAAAGAAAAACCATGCATACAATTCACATGCGAATTGAATTTGTATAAAAAAAAGCAAAGTAATCGGTAAAAAATATTGCATTTCTTTTAATAAAGAGGAGTACGATGTGAGATTTATACGATTTTTAACCAAATATATGAATAGAAATAAGTCATAAAAAATCTAAGCGGTTTTCAGTTGATGAAAATATTCGATATTTTAGGAAATGTAGCCATTTTAAATTTAAACATTTTGACAGGTGACATGTAATGTGGCTAACCAATCACAAAAACGAACGAGTTACATTGTATCATTAGTGGTGTAAGAATTCGAACAAACTGTGGAAGAATAGAAGAAACGAACAGAAGTAAAATGTAACATTAAATGACAGATGACATATCTAGGCTTATGTTATTGTAGTTTCTTTATTTTATGTTTTTTGGGTCAAGAATAAACACTTTTTTAGAATACAATGAAGAATTTTCACAAAACGGCAAGTTTTAACTAACTTTCGGATTCGACATTTTAAAAATTTGTATAAGTTGATTTAGTTGGAGGTAAAGTTTTTGTTTTTATTAATTTGACAAGTTTAAAAAGTCAAAAGTATACATTCGATGTTGCCACATTACCATTTTTACTAAACAATAATTTAGAATTTAAGATATTTACAGTAATTTGTAAATATAGGCATATTATATTATTTAACAATTATAAGTTCGCTCCATATTTTTCGAATAAATCATAACTGTATCAAGAAATACAAAAAAATAAATTATAGCATAGACATACAAACGCCTTTTTTTTCAGAGAAAGAAGATATTTGACAACGTCGCTAAAAACGATCTTTACCACCAATACTTAATTCTGATTGGTTAATGACTTGTGACTAATGTCAAACTTTAAAAATTAATTGTAGCCTTAATAGGAAACGAAAAAAATTAAAAATTTCACTAATGACTTCATAATAATACGTAGTTTTATAAAAAAAAGAAATTAAAAAAACAGTCGTACTCCTCTTCATTTTTGAAGAGTTTAGCCACGTAAATGTTGAAAATATGCCGAGCAAAATAATCTATTTACTTTACTGATTAAAATCTACGTTGATTGTGTAAATGACGCATAATAAACACTAAAATTACGATTTTAAAGCCTACTAAATATTATTAGTGCAATGAAAAAACGTATCATGCGCAATTTTATGAACGAAAATTACTTACTACAAAATTAAGGATAAAAATTCCACCGTAACGAAGGATCACCGAAAAGAGAATTGAAAAGAAAAAAAAATCTAAGTTAGGTGTGCAAATTCTCATTAAAAATCTCATTCGTAGGATCGAAGAAATAACAAAAATTTTGACAACAATTTCCTTAACAACAAAACGAATATTATAAACAATTATTACATCGTACAGTTGGTACAAAACAACGTCACCTATGATTTACTACGTCACAAAGTAGGCAGTGTTGCCGAACTTTTATTGAGTCTACAAAATCTGAGAATTTTCTGAAATTGTCAAATTTCAAAATGACAAGAAGAAATTGAGAAAAAGTCACTAAAATCTGGTGATTTTACTAAAATCTGGTAATATTACTAGATGTTCGAATGACATATCGTAAGGTAGAAGTTTAATAGAGTTGGGAAACAATTTTTTAGTATAGAGGTGGAATAACGACTGTTATTAAATAAGCGTTATTTTTTAAATATCATTTCCCTGATATATTTTCGGATAACAAACGGCAACTATGCAATTTGACAGTCACTGTCTACCAACCTACTATAAGAAAATAATAATAATTTTATATACAAACGTTGAATTTTGACAATTTTAATTCTGCTTTTTAACAACTTCTTGTTAATATTAAACTAAATCCTGCAAGTATTAAACTTAATCTGTATCGTGTATTAATTTTTAAAAGTTGGTCACAATGCTTGGCAAGTATTATGACAGTAGTGACATTTGTTTTGCACCGACTGTACGTATAGCAATTGTTTGCTAAACTTTTAATCTAAATCTAGACTAAAAAAAATATCTTACCCCTTTGCCGCCAAAAATTTGAAAAATCCCGCTTCGTTTCTTCATCGCTTTAGAAGTAATCGTTCCTTTTACCGTGTAACTGCCCTCTTTCACTTTACCGCTGGCGTGAATGTTGCTCAGGTTGGTAGTACTGCCTGAATCGCTGCCGCCCTTCGACAGATCGTCGAACGGGAAATCTTCGGGCGGTTGAAAACCCGATTTGTATTTTTCTATCACCAACATCGTGTCCTAAAAGAAAGAGATATACCGATTAAACCGGGCGTAAGAGTAAGAGATAAGTATGTAGTGTATTGTTGGTTGGATTCCTTATAGGCAAACGGCCGTCGAAGGCTCTTTGACATTTGACAGATAGATTATTTTTATTCAATTTAATTTACCAGATATTATCATAGTAGGCTGCTGTTCGGAAGAATAATACGAGAAATGTCTTTACAACCTAACGTCAAAAACTACCAAATGTCAAAATAAGAAACTGTCAATATAATGTAAAAAAACCTATTTTATACAGAATCACAGTTTGCTGTGATTTAATAAAAACTGTCTAATGTCAAAAAAAAAACAACTCAATGCAATCGAAGTGTAAATTTGATCGTGGTTTTAATTTTCTGCGAATATGGCCTCTTGTCAATTCTTCTTCTTCTTCAATTTTACTGGCTTCGACTACTAAGATCATTCAGCCGTATAAATCATGAAAAAGAAATTCTTGAAGATTAGTATTTTATAATTTGGATATTATTTCAGATTTTTAACGGATTTTACAAAAATTTCACTAGGTACACTTTAACATTAAACTCGGACACAAAATGTCTCACTCAAACATTAAAATAGATTTCAGATGGTCAAGGTATTTTACGGTTAAAAAAAAATTACAAACTCTCGAATCAATTTTGAAAAAGTGACAGATGACAGATGTCATCGCAACGTTGCTACTAAGATCTAACAGCTATTTTGCTGAACGCGAAACAGGAACTCGCCTCTTGTCAATCCTTTGACATTTGACAGATAAATAGAGTTAAATGACTTACTTCTTTTTCGTTTATAATTTCGGCGGCTTTCAAAATGCCGTCCAGGCATTTGTTGATGATGGGAAAAACGTTCCGTTCGATGTCCACCGAAGCCCGAATGAAATTTTTGATGTTCTTTATTCGTTTCTCGTCCAATTCCTGAAGTTGCCTGAACACCTCCGGTAAACCGGACCTGAAACGCACGAAGAATTTTTAAACTCTTCTAAAATCTAAACGGTCGATTTCATAAAGAGATTTTAAAAGTATTAAAGTATACTTTAAATTCCGTAAACATTTAGAACTATTTGGAACAGTCCAGGACGAATTCGGTAAGTTCAGAATCGTACGGAAAACTCTAAAAATCGGAGTCTAGAATCGGGTAGAACTGTCGAGAACCGTTTAGAACGCTACGGAAGCGGTTCAGAAAATGCTTCAGGACGTTTCGAAACAGTTCAAAACTATCACCGTATGATTCGGAACTCTTTATGAAGGAATTACAACAGTTTAGGACGATTTAGAATGATTTCTGTACTATTCGGAACTGTTCACAAAGGAATTTCAAGATTTCAGATCAATTTTCAACGCTTTAGGACGATTCTAAACAGTTCAGAACAATTTGGAATGATTTCTGTACGATTCGGAACTGTTCACAAAGGAATTTCAAGAGTTTAGATCAATTTTCAAGGCTGTAGGACGATTCGAAACAGTTCAGAACGATTTAGAATGATTTCTGTACGATTCGGAACTGTTCACAAAGGAATTTCAAGATTTCAGATCAATTTTCAACGCTTTAGGACGATTCGAAACAGTTCAGAACAATTTGGAATGATTTCTGTACTATTCGGAACTGTTCACAAAGGAATTTCAAGATTTCAGATCAATTTTCAACGCTTTAGGACGATTCGAAACAGTTTAGAACGATTTAGAATGGTTTCTGTACGATTCGGAACTGTTCATGAAGGAATTTCAAGATTTCAGATCAATTTTCAACGCTTTAGGACGATTCGAAACAGTTCGGAACAATTTGAAATGATTTCTGTACGATTCGGAACTGTTCACAAAGGAATTTCAAGATTTCAGATCAATTTTCAACGCTTTAGGACGATTCGAAACAGTTCAGAACAATTTGGAATGATTTCTGTACGATTCGGAACTGTTCATGAAGGAATTTCAAGATTTCAGATCAATTTTCAACGCTTTAGGACGATTCGAAACAGTTCAGAACAATTTGGAATGATTTCTGTACGATTCGGAACTGTTCACAAAGGAATTTCAAGATTTCAGATCAATTTTCAACGCTTTAGGACGATTCGAAACAGTTCAGAACAATTTGGAATGATTTCTGTACGATTCGGAACTGTTCACAAAGGAATTTCAAGATTTCAGATCAATTTTCAACGCTTTAGGACGATTCGAAACAGTTCAGAACGATTTAGAATGGTTTCTGTACGATTCGGAACTGTTCATGAAGGAATTTCAAGATTTCAGATCAATTTTCAACGCTTTAGGACGATTCGAAACAGTTCGGAACAATTTGAAATGATTTCTGTACGATTCGGAACTGTTCACAAAGGAATTTCAAGATTTCAGATCAATTTTCAACGCTTTAGGACTATTCGAAACAGTTCAGAACAATTAGAAATGCTTTCTGTACGATTCGGAACTGTCCATGAAGGAATTACAACAGTTCAGAATAATTAACAAATTTCAGGACGATTCGAAACAGTTTAGAACAATTTAGAAGTGTCCGAAATCAATTAGAAACTATCCAGAACGAAAAAATCTATAGGAAAAGAAATACTCTTTTCTATATCATAATTTTCTTATCGCTCCAGATATTTTTCATAAAATTTTGTACACTTTTAAATTATTAAGGAGCACTATTTTTGAGACAAATTAATAAATTCCGTAAACATCCTGTAAACGATTAATACGAATTAATTATTATTATTATTATTATTTTTTTATTTTCTTACCTAAAATGTTGCCTTTGCAATTCGTTAGTTCTTTGCAATTGTTGAGCGTATTCGTTTTTGGCCGAATCGCAAACTTGCGTTTTATGGGACATATTCGATCGTTGTTTTTCCACTTCGGCTCGCGACAAATTAAAATCGGCATCGGCCTTTTGGAAACCTTCGATGGCCTTTTCCGATTCCTTGTAGGCCTTGTCGTAGGCCTTTTTCGCCCTTTGCAATGCCTCGATTTGCGCTTGAAGGGATTGGCTCAGCCTCAGACCTTCGTGGAGTTGTTTCTGGTTTTTTTTTTTTTGAATTAATGTATCAGACATCAATATAATATAGGGTTTGGATGGATGTACAGTCGACGCAAAAGAAATATTAAATATTTTAATAATTAATACACGGAATGGATTAAGTTTAATACCTACAGAATTTAAAATCACCAGATTTTAGTGACTTTTTCAAAATCTAGTAATTTCCCTAAAAATTTAGTAATATCACCAGATTTAGTGACTTTTCAAAACACAGTAATATCCCCAGAATTTTGTAAAATCACCAGAATAATTGATTTTTTTTTCTCAATATGTTCTTGCCATTTTGAAATTTGACAATTTCAGAAAAATCTCCGATTTTGTCGACACAATAAAAGTTCGGCAACACTGCCTACTTTGTGACGTAGTAAATCATAGATGACGTGCATCGATATTTGTTTTGCACCGACTGTAAGTCCATTAAAAAAGACGATTAACAGATGCATTAAGGTTAATTTATATGAAAGGTAAGTTATTTGTTTTCACATTGTTTAAAAACAAACAATTGTAGGTTAACCTAGAATTGGATGGTACAGAAAAAAACCTATTAGAAATTCGTTTTTTCTTCTTTTTTTTTTGTATACTATAAACCACATAGGTTTCCTCTATATGTAGATTAATTTGTCATTTTAAACGCACGAAAATATTCCATGACTTTCTCTATTTTAGATAATAATAATAATCCTTATGAATAAACAATATTTTTTTCGTTACCATATTGAATAAAGAAAATATCGAAAATTTCGTCTTAAAAAGAAAGCCGCATTTGCATAGTTATACAGGGTGTTACTGTAAACTTTAGCAGCAAGTAGACAACCTCAAAATATGACAAAAACTTAAATGTCATTTTAACGAAATGTCAAATTACTGAAAGAATTCATTCCTACTAGATTTTTGAAGATGACAATAGTTTAAATCAGAATTTTAAAAGTCATTTTTCGTAAAAACGGTTCACTTTACGGAAAATCAACAAATGTACCTTTTTTATGTAAAAACCTTCATTTTTTCATATTCTTCAAACAAACCAATAGAAAAGGTTAAAATAAAAAAGTTAGGCTAGAATTACCCCACGAACCCCCCATTTGAATCCAACCCTGGACAACTTTTTTAACCCGATCGAATAGCACCGTAAGACATTTAATTTGCTTAGTATTTGTACCAAATTTCATCATTTTACCTTCTCTATTAACGAAATTATTAATAAAAATACCTCTTCAAAAATCCATCATCTTTAACACCCTGTATACCGATAACCAAAAACATTTCGATAAAACGACATTTAAGTTTTCGTCATATTTTCGTCACTCATTTCAGATACACCCTGTACATCGAACACATGACGTCATATATATTCCTAAACAAAAAAAAATCCTTACTTTTCTCTCCTCCTTCAAATCCTTCACTAAAGCCGTCAATTCCTTTATCACATTGGCTTGAAGATCTTCCGCTACTAATTCATGTTGACCGGCCAAATCGTTCACTTCGTTCATCAACGCTTTGAATGCCTTACAAGAAGTAAATCTACAACAAGAAAAACACAAAAACCAAACAATCAAACGTGGAATTATTATTAATACAGTTAATTGGATATACAGAATTTCTACGATTCTAAATCAAACTTAAACAAAACAAGTCGACAGAAGTGGGATTTTAAGATGCGTTCGATTATACATTAACAAAATTGACATTTCGTATGACAGAAGTTTACTAGAGGTGCGGAAATAGTTGGGAGTAACGACTGTTACAAAATAACCGTTATTGGTTCATTATTGCATTCTTCGATATAAATTACTGATTTTTTTTTCTCGCATTATGCGCGACTAAGTGGGACTTTAAAATACGTTCGATGATACATACAGGTTGTCCTAATCGTGCGGTAAAGCATAAGTAAATAGAAAAAATGTTAGGCAAATATATAGACGCATAATTTAAAATTATTTCGAATTATACAGGGTGGCTCAAACACATTTTTACAATTTGTATACAGGGTGACAAAATTAGGGATAAAATTACAATTTATATACAGGGTGAGTCAAAACGCAAACATAATAATTATCCGCTTAATTTAAATGGAACATCCTATATTAATAATATCCAATGAGAAGCCTATTTCTTACTAAATCATTTTTCGTAACATTTCCTCATACCCAACTGTCACGGTTTCTGAGATATTTTCAGTTTTATTAAAAAAATGTCTAATTTTTTGCCAATTATTAAATTCTACTCCAATCTTATTTCGTTGAAAATCCCCGTTTCCAGTGCACCGAATTAAACGAACTTCCAAGAATACAAACCACATACGTTATTTACAAATAACTTTATCGATCCGATAACCCTCGAACGAACGAAATCTACTCATAACAAATGACCGAAGAAACAATTCAAGGAATCCGATCGACTTTACAGGCTTATATAAAACGCCCGGTACAGCAATCGCAATTCAATCCAAAATACAGTTCCGTCGAATGCGAAAAAACATGTTATCGTTCGGCGTTTTCCCGGCGGTTTTCCTGCCGCTTTTCCTGTCGCTTTCCATCGCCAAATCCGCCGAAGATGTAACGTTTCGAGATGTCACCTTCGAAACGTACAAATTGTACGAAGGACCGATCAACAGGACGATCCGCAGCGGCGACAAAATCGCCGATTTTTTGTCGAAGGATGATTTTCATTTCGTTAAAATAAAAGGACAAAACGTGCCGGTTTTGCGGCGAAATTCGCTCGCCGATTTGCGTATCGTTAGCGAAATTGTTGTAGAGGAATCCAACGTTGAGGAAATTCAAGCGGGCTTCTTGGGAAATTCCACTGATGTGAAGTTATTGTCGTTAAAAGGTAAGGAAAAACTGCGAGATTTTGCTGTAGAGTAAGAGGTCGTGAATGGTGTTTTATGTCATAATAACGGTTGAGTGGTCGTGTTTTATGTCAAATGTCAATGTCGTATGTCAATGTCGTATGTCAATATCGTAGAATGGGTTATAGAAAGAGCGCTTCCTCTTTCGTTGTCTTTTTTAGAATCTAAGTTGATGATCGTTATTCTCGTTTTATTTTGGAATAGATATCGTTTAAAAAGAGGTGTAATACTTCTGAGGAAGAGTACTGTACAGGGTATCCAACTACTAACTTTTTTTTGTCAAGAATTAAAATATGACATTATAATTTAAAAGTTCTACCTACTAGATTTAGTTAAAATTAACACTTATTAAAATTGACTTCTGAACTTTTATACAAATAAAAATAAATTTGTATCCCAAATAAGCTTGTCGTATTTGAAATATTTCTAATTAACATTACTTTTTACACAAAAACGTTAAAAAACTCAAAAAAAAAAAGAAAAAATTCCTGCACTGGGCGGTGATTGAACCTCATTCCTTGCCGTTGAAATTTTCAAACTTCAGTGCGTCAACCATAACTGCTAACTCCGTCTTTTTTAAAATTATTAGATAGTGACATAAAAATGACACATTTATGATGTTTGACTTTTTTCAACCGAATTCTACATTTTTTTATTAAACCAGAACGAATCTTATATACTACACTATTAGTATTCAGTATACAGGATTAATTTTGAGATAAAAATTTAACCGTTATTTTTCAAAATACCTTTCTGATTCGCATAATGCGAATATGCGTTAATTTATTTATCAATATTTTTGCAAACATTTTAAAAATATTTTGACATCGACATGTGACAATTAAATCTAGTAGAAAACGAAATCGCACAAAACGGTCCTGAAACCACGGTAGTACATTTAATGCAAAGTCTGGAAACTTTTGTATCTTATAAATAAATAAATTTATAAATGAATTGTAGTCAAGTACAATAATCGAGTAATAAGCTATGTAAACAATTTATTAGATAATCCAACTTATGGCTCCATTTTTGTTGAATTCAAAACGCATCATTTACAACAACGCCGCCTACCGGTCGTTTTAGGAACTTCAAACGACGAGTTTCCAGACCTGCACGTGTATAAGACCGCGAATAAACCGCACAAAATGGCCGCTACAAAAGAAACACAAACGATCTAATGTCATATTCCCGCTTTCTTCTTTACAGGCAACCGAATAACATCGATAGAATACGGGGTGTTCAACAATTTAGAACTGATATCGATCGATTTGACATCGAACAAAATCGCTTCGATCGACTCTCGAGCATTCGACGACATGCCGAGCTTGATAACACTCCGTTTGGACGATAATTTAATCGCCGATTGGAATCCGAATTGGTTCAAAAATACGCCATTATTAGCCGTAATTTCGATGCAACGAAACCGATTAGAAGAAATCCCTGCCGATGCTTTCGGGAACCTAAAAGGCGACAAACGACAGGAAGACATCGACTTCAACGTCAGCCTGGCATTCAGCTACAATCGAATAAAAACGATCCATCCCGAAGCTTTCTCCGGTTTGGAGAAAATCCACTCTTTATGGTTCGATCACAATCGATTGGACGATTTCGACGGGAATCTACTAACCGGAATACGCGTGGGGAATCTCCGATTAAACCACAACGAAATAAAATGCTTCAAAAGCGATTTGGATAAAGTTTTAACAGCTGAAAATAATTACATCGATTCCAATCCGTTCGATTGCGAATGCTTGGAGAGGATCAAAGCCTACTCGAAAACGTCCGGGAAAAAAGTGCATATCGTTATGGCCGAAATGGACTGCGTATCTCGAAGGATCCAGGCCAAAATGGCGGCGTTGGAAAACCGCCTTAAGGAATTGAAATTGCTCAATCGATCGCCGGAAATCGCTGGGAAAAAGGAAGTCGAAGACGTGGAGGTGTTCGACACCAAGAAAATCTCCATAAAATAATCCAAATCCGTACCTGGGTTTGCGAAATAACTGGCGGTGATTCGTTGCTCGTTTGTTAGAAAAATGGCGAAGGAGCAGGATCTAAAAATTGATTGATAAAATGATTCACTGCCGGTTATTTTAGAACCACACATGGGTATATAGTATATGATTTCTAATGAAAATCGAATAATAAATAGAGGCGCATTTAGACAACATTATATCTATTTAGATTTATTCCTAAGTAAATTACATACAAACAAAATGACCTATTCATATAATCATGCAATTATTAACCTTGGAAAAACGAGTTGCGAGACGTTTGTCTCTACAATTTAAACGTACAATTTATTTTGCGAAAAATAATTTCATAAAACGATCGTATACTCTCTCTCTCTCTCCTACTGTATTTTACTCTACTCTGCTCTATTCTGAATTTACAATACTCTATTCTGTTCTACTCTATTCTGAATTTACTCTACTTTGCTCAACGCTAATCTACTATATTCTGAATGTAGGTACTCTGCTCTACTCTAAACCACTCTATTCTGAATTTATTCTGCTCTACTCTATTCTGAATTTAATCTGCTCTACTCTTTTCTGAATTCATTCTACTTTAATCAACTATATTCTGAATTTACTCTGCTCTACTCCATTCTACACTATTCTGGATCTACTCTATACTCTCTGTTAAATCTACTATACCCTAATCTACCCTAATATTCCCTACTCTCTCCTAATCTATTATAAATCTACTCTACTCAACTCTGCTCTACTATACTCTAATTAACTATATTCTGAATTTACTCTACTCTGTTCTACGACAATCTACTATATTCTGAATATGCTCTGCTCTACTCTAATCTCAATTTACTCCGTTTCATTTCTCTATTCTTAATCTAATCTACACTATTCTACTCTGTTTTGAATATACTATACTCTACTCTACCCTAATATTCTCTACTCTATTCCACTTAAATTGCCCTACTTTATTCTGAATCCTAATTTATCCTACCCTAAACCCTATACTATTCCGAATCTTTCTAATTCTTTCGGTTCTGATTATTGTACTCTGCGATAAATTACAGATTTTTTTTCTCGCATTATACACGAATAAGTGGGACTTTAAGATGCGTTCGATGATATATAAACAAAATACTGTTTAACATTAATGCGACATTTCGAATGACATAAGTTTAATAGAGGTGGGAATCGATTTTTGTTTTTAGGTATAGAGGTGCTGTAACGACTGTTACAAAATAACCGTTATTTTTCAAATATTCATCTTACTTAACCCGATTTTTCTGCAATTATGAAACTGACAATTCGCCGTTGAAATGGATTAAATTCGTATATTATGTAAAAGCCGGTTCGGAGTTATTTCGTATTCGTACGTTGAAAAAAATGTAGGTTGAAATGAAAAAAAAAAAAATCCAAGGACCTTGGGATATTAACAAGTAACAAGAAGCAGAACAAACATAGCATACTTTCGTTAGATAAGCGTTATAGTTTAAGTATTCTCGTGAATTTTCGAATAGTTTAAACGTTTTAAAAGTGTAGATATTTGTACTTACTGGTAATAATCATCTTCTTCCTTTTTCTTAGGTTGATAACTTTTGACTAGTCTTCTGTAACAAAGAAAATAAAGCGTTTAAAAAAAACAACAAATTTTAACTCGAATTACTTTGATAAATCAATCGAACTATTTAAATCGAATCGAACGCCAGAACAATCGGAAAAATTTCTAATTGACTATTAAGATTACGCCAAAATATAACAATTTATTATAATTATATCGGCGAGTTTCGCATACTTTACGAATTTATTTATTATATTTTGGAGACGAATTTGGCCTTCAACGAGCATTTTATCCAGCAAAAAATATCAAACGGTCTTCGGGTAGGTAAGTAATCGGTCCCAATTTATGGCCTTCACCTAGTACTTACAACGTATACAATACACTATATCATCTAGTTAATATGCAAAGTGCATTTCATGGAAAACGCGCGTAATATCTAGTTAATAATAAAATAAAAAAAAAAGAAATCCGCTTCGAACAGAACCATCGTGATACAGGGTGTCCCTAAATAACGTGCTAATATTTAAAGGGAGTGATTTTTGGAACCATTTTAAGTAAAAAAACTTTATACGAACATACCGAAAATTTGTTATTATTTTTTTTAATGCGAAACGGTGAGTCGTACGGTAAAACGTCAAGAAATCAAATTTGTTCTAAATCGAATGTGGATTCGGAAAATAATTATTATTTCGATATTAGACAGTGGCGTATCACTTTTTTCTCCAAAAATATACAATGCAAAACCCGTACGGACGCCACTGCTGAAAATAATAAAATTATTTATACATCAGAAAATGCATCTTGATTCAAATAAAACGTGTGCCAAATTTCATAAAGATATCTACAATAGTACCATAATTATTACAAAAAATTGATTATAATCTTAAAACTTTAACACCCTGTATCTCAAAAGTTAAGACGTTTTAGGACATTGGTTCATATGAAGTTTTCTCCTTAAAATGGATCCAAGAATCACCCCACATAAATATTAGCATGTTATTTAGGGACACCCTGTATATAATTTACAACTTATACACGATGTACCAACCGGGTAATTTATATTCCGTACAATACGCGTTTTGTTATCTTGTAAAGGTGCTTACATGACTCTTTGTTAGGTAATTCGTTTTGAATTTTAAAGAGGACGGTTCATCGAAAGTGAAATGATTATTTGTTTGCAAATACACACACACTCGAATCCAATTAAATATTAGTAGGCGCATTTTGCTATATAACGAATTACGTCTGCCATTTTGTCGTAAAATTTAAGATACCTACTACAAAATGGCTGCTAAGTAATTTTTTTATGTTTACCAAAACGCCTACTTTGATTACGAATAAGTATTAGATAAAGTGATGGTGCGTTTATGTAAATAGAGTGTAATATACAGGGTGTTGATTAATTCGAGTGCCGATTATAGTTCAGGATGTGAATATTTGGGTGATTTTAAGAAGAAAAGTTTATATTAATGTATGTCCTGAACCTCTTAGTTTTCGAGCTACAGGGTGTTAAAATTAGAGAAAAAAAAATAATTTTCTATTATAATTTTCTTATTACTTTAGATATTTTTATGAAATATGGGACGAGGACGTTACTGGTAATAGTAGAAAATTAATTTTTGTTCCCATAAATGAAGTTTTTCCATGCATGGTGGGCAAATTTCAACAAAATATCAAAAGCAGTCTCAAGATGTACTTTGGAAAAAAATGTTTTGGTTTTTATTTTTTTACGCGAAAATGGTGCGTCGTACGAAATTAAATCTTCAGATCGAATTTGCTCCAAAATAAATGAGGATTTTAAAAATAATTTTAGTTTTTAGAAAAAACAGTGGCGTACCATTTTTTCTTCAAACATATTCAGTTCAAACCCCCTACGGACGTCGCTGGTAAATATTTTAAAAAATCTTTCGTCTCAAAAAATGCTTCTGAATAATTAAAAAGTGTGTACAAAATTTCATAAAAATATCTGGAGTAGGTAATAAAAAAATTACGATCGAAATGTTTTTTTTCTCTAAAATTGTAACACCCTATAGCTCTCAAACTAAGAGGTTTAGAACATATATCGATATAAACTTTTCTACTTAAAATCATCCAAATATTCACATCCTAAAGTATCGACACTCAAATTAATCAACACCCTGTATATTTTTGAAATGCAACGAAAACTTCGAACGTTTGTTTTTATTTTATTTCGGCAACATTTTAGGACCGGTAATTTAATAAATTCCAAAGGAACTCGTTTCGCGGACGGGACACGCACGAAGAAATTCGAGAAACTCTTTTCGAGAAACCTTCTCGACTTTAACTCAGAGTTTTTAAATACACCGAATAACCGAGCCTATAAAGACCACCAAATAATCTACTAAAACGAATTCTAATCAACACACTTTTACATTCCCTGTATACAGGGTGTTCCTAAATATCGTGTACATCCGAAAGGGGGTGATTTCTTGGCTTATTTTATGACGAAAAGTTCTTGAAAAACTTGAATTTTCAGGATTTTTTTTGTTTTTTTTTTGTAGCTCTTGCATTTTATGAGATATTTAGTTCAAATTTTGAATCTAGATTTCTTTACAGGGCACACATTATTGGATATATCAGATGGTTGTTGAATTCTACAGGGTGATATTTTTTCAGGGGTCATGTACCCTTTTTCCCCCCGAACTTTTTTGCTGTGCGCCGCTGGTAGATTCTAAAATACAAAATTAATTATCCGTTTGGTTTAGAAACTTTTTATTTGTAAACTATTTTCGTTTCTGTGACCGTTATCGAGAAAAAAATTAAAAATGATTTTCTGCACAAATGATTTATTTTACAAAACAAAACCCCTAAATAATAACTATTAAATTACATTAAAATAAATGTTGAAAGTGACCCACTCCTACTCAAATTATACTCTATACCCTATACCTAATTTGAGCTAAATATCTCAAAAACTGCATAGAAGCTCTAAAAAAGAAACAAAAAAATCTTGTTCAACTTGAACTTGAACTTTTAGTCATAAAATAAGCCAAGCAATCATCCCATTTCGGATGTACACGATGTTTAGGAACACCCTGTATATAGACAGTTTAAGAGTTAAATTTCCACAACCTACTGCAGGCTAGATAACAGTCCACCCTGTATAAGCGTTTACGTTGCAAATTCGCCAATATTTATGCTAATTTGATGTGGTGGAGCAAAAAAAAAACCAGCCTTGCAGGATTTTAAAATAACGTCCGTTCGGGCGCCTACACACAAATTTTATTCGCTCGAACTAGCCCGGACTTTTTATGGTAACGCGGAGGATACAAAAAAAACTATTGGAGCAAAAAAATGGATTCTTCTCGAGCGTTAAAACGAACCTAATTTACCTATTAGTAGATAAATTAGGCGATTTTCGAGCTAATTCGGCGATGACGTCACGCTCGCTTAAAAGCGAATCTACTATATCAAAGTTTTTAGAACTTTGCTTGAACAAGATAGTTTCCTATACTACAGATAGTTTTAGTTTTAACTTTTGTCGTGGGACACCTTGTATTAAAAAAATGCAATAGGAATATTTCCAAAGAAATTAATAACTAACTGCAGTTGTGTATCTTTTTCTTATAGATAACAAAAACTCCATTATTTCTAAAAATACATAAATTACATCATTAAAAATATGTTGTAATAACCGAGATAGACTAAATTTTCTAAATAGAATGCCCTTTCTTTATTAAAATAATTGGAAATTAAATAAATGTTGCTGCATTTTAGAAATAAGTTTTTTGTCAATAAACGAAATTGTCGTGGTTCACATCAAAAAATAGCTCCAACCAGAAAAAAAAAACAATTTCAAAGTAATAGTTCCCCAATAGGGTTTAACATTCCTGTTTAAGGAAATGTCCATTTCGACTTATTTTTTGACGATCTTTTCAAATCTATTATTATTTTTAGAATTAGATTAGAGCGAATTATTAAAATTGAATTTACCTTAATTTCGAGGCGTATTCACATTCGATGGTGGCCCTGTCGCGTACAAATTGACCGTATTTTTCCAAAAAGTCGATTCCTTTTTGCGTGTGAAGGGACAAATTGTCGTATTGATCCTGCAACAGAAAATATACACGATTTAAATTAAACAGAATATACAGAATATACAGGGTGTGTCTCATAAGTTTTTTTTCTAAAATTGTCAAATGGCAAAATTACGAGAACAAATTGAATAAAAGTCACTTATTCTGAAGATTTTAACCAAAATCTGGTGATATAACTAAATTTTAGGGAAATTACTAGATTTTGAAAAACTCACTAAATCTGGCGCGATTTTACTAAAATCTGGTAATATTACTAGATATATGAATTATTTAAAGCTTAAATTGTGTAATTTCTATAACATGTGGCAAATATAACTACGCAAAAATTCTTATTTCTTATTTTATTCGGCTGAATAGCCTTTATTAGTTGAGGCTAGTCAGAAAAAAAGAAGAAATTGAAAATTAAAAGCACCGATCGCATAACAAACGGCAACTATGCAACTTGACACTCAGTGCCTACCAACCTACAATAAAAAAAATAATAACAATTTTATATACAAACGTTAAATTTCGACAATATATATATTTTTTGGATGACTTAATTCCGCTTTTTAATACTTTCTATCACCTCTTGTTAATATTAAATTACTTCACGTATTAAACTTAATTTTCGAGAGTTGGTCACAATGCTTGTCAGTTATGTATAGTGACGTGCATCGATATTTGTTTTGCACCGACTGTATCTAATAAACAAAAAATCGTTTGTCAAATTTCGTAATTGATTTTGGAAGCACTGTATGCAAATAAATCTTGATCACAAGAAAGTTGTTAGGCCGCGAAGAGGTCGAATATTTTTAAATTCGAAAGTACCGTCTAAATAATAAATAAAACGATGATGGCTAATAATTCTCTCTTTTCGAACACGAAGAATCGGATTTAATTGATTTTTATAGGCACCCATATCGGTATCGGTAGAAAGAAGAGAGATTATTATTACACCATTTTCACATTGTATGAATGTGTGTGAAATTTTTTAATTGCAAGAATAATTATTACCGAGCTCGCTGTTCTATACAGGGTGATTACAGAGCCTGTAAATGTTACAAACAAGAGGAAACAATTATCATAAACATTGAAAATAGATGTAAATTCGCTTGTGGCCGATAACCTACTTGTGAACAGACCGTTCGAATGGTTTCTTTTTTTTCTTCGTTTAGGAAATTGGTCATATGTGTGCATTTGCATTCGATAAAGTTTTTCGTTTATTGCTTCATTTACTTCAAAAAAAAAAAAAGTAATTATACTGTAAAAATTACTATTAGATTTTATTCTTGTATATTAATGCTAAATATCATTCCCTTTGAGAATCAAGCTATGATGGCCTCGAACTGTGCGGTTATTCAGCCAATTTTCAACCCAATAACTATTAAAAACGTACACTCTATGTTCTCACTTAAAATACAGAATCATTTTTTTTCTAGCATTCCCTCAAGTTTGTTATATTTTTTTTCCTTTGGGAATCAAGCTATGATGGCCTCGAACCGTGCGGTTATTCAGTCAGTTTTTTATTTTCAAACTCTTCGACCCAATAACGACTTGTTTATAAAGCAATAACTATTATTTACTAGCGCGCAGAATGAATGTTAATGAATGTTGTTATTGCATTATTAAATTCCTCCCGAAAGATTCCAAAGATTTCTGAATGCAAGATAATAATTAATCATTATACAGGACGGCACGTTAGTGTGGAAAAGCTATCTTTTGCATACGAAAAGTTGCAGATACTTTTTATGTACTGTACACCCTGTATATTAAAACAATCGAAACTGAATTAAATTAAACGCCGGAATGGCATAAATTGCGAGTTCAGGATAATCCTAAAATCATATAGAACAGTGCAACACTAATTTGAACTGTTCAAAATCATTTAGAACCATTTTAGGACCGACTAGGATGATTTGAAAGAGTTCAGGACGATTCTAGACCCGCTTAGAATCATCCAGAATTGTTTAGAACCGTTTTAGTAATGACTAGGACCATTCGAAACCAATCAGGACGAACCTGGAACTGTTCAAGACCATTTAGAACCGTCCAGTATCAATCAGAACCGCTTTAGAACCGACTAGAACCGTTCGAAACAATTTATGGAACGCTCCAAAATAATTTAGAACTGTCTAGAACCATTTAAAAGGCTCCAGAACCATTTAGAAAGTTAATAATAGTTATTTAGAACCTTCCAGAATCATTTAAAACTGTCTACAACCAATTAAAAGGCTTCAAAACCATCTAGAACTGTCTAAAACGATTTGGGACGCTCCACAACCATTTAGAACGCTCCAGAATCATTTAGAACTGTCTAGAACACTCCAGAATCTATTAGAACTGCCTAGAATTAAATATTTTGACTCAATATAAAGAGAATAATGTACGTTTTCTTGTAAATTGAAGAAAAAAACTAATTTCCTGTAGAAAATACACTGAAAGGTTTTAGTTTTAGATCAACGCCCTTTATACTTTCCCTCGTCTCTGAAAACACGAATATTCAATTATCTAAACCGTTTGCCGGTAGCGAACAATTAAAAATTAAATATGCACAATGTAGACGGCATTAAAACCGAGTTAAAAGTTCTATTTTCGTGCGAGTTTCGTCTATTTTTAAACCAGGAGAAAGTTTTTTTTTTGGTTTGTTTGTTTTTAATAAAAAGGTGAGCGAAACGTAAAACATGTGTGTAAAGGGTTGCAAGTTCGGTGTTTATTTGTGTTCTAAAAAAAAATTATCTTCCTCTTAACTCTTACAATTTAGTAAGTGGGCACATGTATTAGAATTATTGGGGTTTTTTTTTGTGTTCGCTAAAACGCCTAAAAATAAGCGCATGAAAATAAAATTAGTGACATATTTTTGGAAAATAAATTGCATAAATTTCCTACGCGCTCGAAAATAAAAACATTCCATTTCTAATGGGATAAAAATTTTGTATTTTCGACGAAAATATACAGCGAATTTGAAAATAGATTAATACCTAATAATAATAATTTACTGGTGTATTTGAGGGCGGCTTGGCAACAGCGCAAAAGTCGCCAAAAATGTTAAAAATTTTAAAAACTCTAAGAATATGTATTTTACAGGGTGTCCCATTAAAAAGTAGCATAAAAACATGCGGTTTTCGCAGATATACAGGGCGTTTCTGAAATAAGTGGTCAAACTTTGGGAGCAAAAGTAGACAACCCCAAAATATGACAAAAACTTAAAGGTCATTTTAAAACGAAAAACTACTTTTCATTGGGACACCCTGTATTTTATTTTAATTTATAGCTTCTTCTCGATTTTTTCTCAACAAATTAATTTTCGAATTGTTTGGAATTTTCGAAACTATTTTCATTAAATTACTCTTACATACCTACCTCAATTACTCACAATTATTTTTCCCCATCTTTCTCGCACTTTTGGTTTACAAGATATCGCCATTTTTATTGCAACATCCTGTATACGAATATATTCCAAGCTATCCCATTACAAAAATCAATCAATTTCGAGTCACGTTCAATAATACTACTATTACATTTTAATAACATCGCATGTTTACTCTACTTTTAGTAGTACACCATAGGCGTTATATTAATAAATAAATAATACAGGGGTGCGGCGATATGTACTAAACGATGACCCGGTTTTTTCCGCATCTTCAGCTCCTCAAAACGGATACGAATTTAAAAAAAAACGATAAGAGAATAATAATATCTAGTCAACCAGTCATTCATAAATTCAAAAATGTATTTCACTTATTAAGTAAACGAGGCAGAAAAAGGCAGGAAAAGGCAGAAAAAGTAAGATAGAAAAATAGAGGTAACATGGCGGATGCAATCAGGCGCATTTGAGTGTAGGCAAATATATTTTAAATAGGAATTTAATTATATTAAGAATTGTTATGGTAAAAATATAACATTTTTTAATATTACGTATGAAAATGTTGTTGATATTTTTTGAAAAAAAACTGCTTCCCATTTTCCCGCTATTTGCTATTATTCGCTGTGAAAATGAGATTGATACTGTTCTCTGATCACTCTTTAGTTGAAATTCCTTCTTTCCTTTTCCTTTACTAGTGTCTAATGGAAGTTGTCTTTGTCGCACTTATAGCATATATAATCTACACCTTGTTCCATTTCCGATTGCAACATGGCGCATTTCTATATGAGTGGAACAAAGAAAGGTTGATTAAAATGTCAGTTGTCATAGCGAAAAGTTGCAATGACACAAATCAGTCACTCTTTCTTTATCCTTTATAAATGTCTAATGGAAGTTGTCTTTATCGCACTTACAGTAGACCAAAAAAGTATTCGTACAGTTGCATTATGTTCTGGAAGTCCGCGTTCAGTAAACAGAAACAAGAAGTAACTAGCAAATTAAAATCTACATTTCAAGACTATTCTTGCAATCATTAATTAACATTGTTATTAAAAATGTAAAATAAAAAAAAACGAAAAATGTTTGCTTTATCCCCAAAATAAGTATTCGTACAGCAACGTTTTATCAATTTCTTCACTCTGTAGATATTAAATTGTTTATTGTTTTCGCCGGTATATTAGTATTAGGTTGAGCTCCTAGTTCTGTTTTCAAAATAATTCAAGTTTACCTTAAAATGCCCAGAAAAACTGAAGAAATAGATGGTGACTTAAAAAAGTCATCATCCATCATTTTATAGAAGGAAAATAATATAAGGAGATAGGTAAAATTGTTCAAAAAACACATATTACAGTTCAGTACATTGTGAAAAAATATAAATCTACTGGTTCCGTGGAAAATAAGTCAAGATCGGGAGGTACTGCCAAGTTAACTCAACGAGATCAGAATTTCATTTATCAAAAAGTTAAAAAAAATCCCTTTGTAAGTGCTCCATACATCGTTTCTGAACTGAAATCCAGTACATGGCATAAGATCCATCCGGAAACTCTTCGATACCACATTAAGCGATTAGAATATAGAGGAAGAAGACCTGCTAAAAGCCAAGGATAAATAAGAAAAATCGAAAGCTAAGAGTGGAGTTTGCTAAGCGTTACATTAATAAACGTTTAGA